TCATAGTGGTCTCCGGCTTTCTGTCGAGCAGGCCTAGCTGCCTGCAGTTTCGGCCACCACTCCTCCTTGATCTGTATTTTCGGTGATGGAGTGGTCAGGAGTGGCGGCGAAGGTGTGGGAGGCGGGTCCTGCAAAATAGGCAGCACAGAAGGATACACGACAGACTAGTGCTCCTGGTGAGATACAGCGTGCAGAGGTAACGAAGCATGTATAGTGTTAGCAACTGAAAACGTTATTCGCTCCTCGCCATCTCTCAAAACTAAGGTCCCATCATGCACATCTATGAGAGCCTTGGCGGTGGCCAGGAAAGGCCTTCCCAGTATAAGAGGCACTTCTGTGTCCTCATTGATGTCCAGGATAACAAAATCCACAGGATATGTGAATTTGCCAACCTTAACCAGAAGGTCTTCCACTATGCCCTTAGGATGCACTACAGATCTGTCAGCTAATTGAAGGGTCATCCTAGTAGCACGGGGTTCGCCTAGGCCTAGTTTCTTGAACAATTGATAGGGAATAACATTGATACTAGCACCTAAATCCGCCAAGGACTTCTCTACATGCAATTTATCAATAGAGCACGGGATAGTAAAACTACCTGGGTCCTTTTTCTTCTGCGGAAGCTTGTTCTGCAGAATAGCCGAGCACTCCTCGCTGAGCTCCACAGTGGCCAGCTCACTCAGCTTCTGCTTCTTCGAGAGAAGCTCTTTCAGAAACTTCGCATACTTCGACATTTGCGATAGTGCCTCCAGGAAGGGCACTTGGACATTCAGCTTCTTAAGCATGGCCATGAAGTTCTCGAACTCTGTCTCCAGCCTGTCTTTGTGCAACCGAGTAGGGAAAGGGAGTTTAGGGACATACTCCTTCACTACTAGTTGCGGTTTAGGTGTAGGCACCTCAACCTCCTTCTCTACTTCCTGTTCAACCGCTGGAGACGCTGGAACATGGCTCTCTCTTTCCGGTTCCCGAGCAGGGGGATCAACAGTCATCTTGCCACTCCTGGTCATGATGACATTGCAGCGCTCATCCGGGGTCGGCGGGTGAGGGATGGTCTGCCCGGGTAGAGTACCAGGAGCCCTTTGAGCCACTGCCTGGGCCACGCTCCCCAGCTGGGTCTGGATATCCTGCAAAACAGCCTGTGTGTTCCTCTGACCAACTTCAAGAGCTAGGAGTTTACCCAAGGCCTTCTCCATGAACTGCTCAAAGGTGTTGAATTTCTGAGCACTAGCACTGGCGAGAGAACCCACCAAGTCCCGCAGTTCAGCCATCTGATCATTCTGCACTGGGGCAGCAGGTGCTGCACCTGGCTGCTGGAAAGGCCGCGGCTGTGATTGAGCAGCATGCCCCTGCATGGGTTGATAAAGATACTGTTGTTGCTGCTGGAATTGCCCCTGTCTGGGCTGATATGGTGGCCTCTGGAAACCTGGTGGTCCCTGGGGAGCTGGTGGTCTGGGATTTGGCCCAGCCCAGGAGAAGTTAGGATGCTGGCGCCACCCCTCATTGTACGTGTTGCTGTAGGGGTCATTGCGCCTGGCGTTATTAATGAAGTTCACCTGCTCCTGGGGTGTGGTTGATTCCTTCATCGCCTGGCAGTCCTCCACCGTATGATGGGTGCTTTCGCACCATTGGCAGAGCATCGCCTGCTGCTGTCCGGTCCCTGGAATCATTCCGGAACGATCGATAGCTGAGACCAGCTTCGATACTACCTGCACCAAATCAGAGGGATGGGCTCCCACAGAATGTACACCTCGGCTGGGTGCTCTCCTCGACCTCCTGGCAGTGCCCCAATCATAACCATTCTTCGCCATCTCTTCAAAGAGTTGATTCAGCTGTGGCTGGGTTTTGGTCAGCATGTTCCCGCCACAAACTGAATCGATCAGCTGCTTGTCCTCCGGGAAGAGGGCGTGATAGAAGGTGCCCACCTTGAATGCATCATTGAAACCATGATTGGGACACCTAAGAAGGAGGCTGGTGTATCTCTCCCAAGCATCCCTAATGGTCTCATCCTCATCCTGAGCAAAATGTGTAATTTGCTTCTGCAGGTCAGCTGTCTTGGATGGAGGATGGTAGCGGGTGAGGAACTTGTCCGCCAGGTTGGCGAACGTGGTGATGGAGCCGGAGGTCGAGTGTCTAGCCACTCCTTGGCCTGCCCCTCCAAAGTGAATGGGAAGTACCTCAGCTGGATGGCATCTGCTGGTACCCCGTTGATCTTGATTCCATCGATGAGCTCGTGGAATCGCCTGAGATGTGATCGAGGGCACTCTCCCTCCTTACCACGGAACACCACTGAACCACGCAGCATGGTGATCACTGAGGTGCTCACCTCAAAGTTGTTGGCTGGGACATGAGGGTGTTGAATGGGTGACCTCATGTCTGCAGCCCTAGCGGTCCAGTAGGATCCCATGGTCTGCGCATCTGGGTTGATCACCTCGTGGTTCTGCGGGTCACCCATCTCTCCTTCTTCTTATTCTCCGATCTGCAGCTGTGATAGCCTTCTCCGCAGCCAGTCGCGCCTTTAGAACCCGCTTGGAGTTCCTGCAGGTTCGTTCAAGCTCCTGGTCTAATGGTAATAGTTCTCCCGACTGGCTACGGGTCATGCACTACCTGCACACAATCAGCAGAAGCAACCCGTGAAGGCACACAGGTGGAAAAGATAAAATGCAGTAAATAAAAGCTAGAGTAACAAATTCTCACGTTTCCCCAATAATCTAGAGGCTCCCCGGCAACGGCGCCAAAAACTTGACACGCCAAAACGCAACACCAAACTGCGACCAAGTGTAATCGCAGTCCGGGAATGCAGTAACAGGCAAGTTATATTATCAACCCGGGGTCTAGATCTACTGCTTACTCCGTGATTCTCTATTATCTAGCAAACTAATTCGAGTGATTGTTGTTTAAAGCAAAAGCAGTAAGAAAGCAGGAAATGGTTCGGTTTTCAAAAGCAGGTAAGAGTCACTCGGGAATGAGTCCCCCTAGCCCCTTGGTTAAGTTCAATTGCAATTCCCTGGGTTGATTTACTGATGATTAGACTGCGGAAGATCCGACAGTAGCTTGGAATCTCTTAAGCTGACCAAGCCCTCTCAGTCTAACTACCCGGCAGACGACTAGTCTTCACCGGGATAGAAAGCTGAGGCTATGAACACAGAACTCCACTACTGGCGCCAAGAACACCAGTACAAAGCAGTAAACTGGCTAACTCTCGTATAGCCAACCTCCTACTATCGAATGAAGAGGCTCTAACAACCTAATCAGATTCTATCTATCTCAGGTTGCAGCAGAAATTGAGAAAAGCTGATCAGACTCCAATCAATTCAATAAACATGCATCATTCGATTAAAATCAAACAGTAATATCATCCCAAGTCTTTACAATCAAATCCCTAACACAAGGAACTAGGGTTCTTCATACCCAAGTGAGAGAAAGGTTCTACTCCATAGAGAGAGAAAGGAAAACGGAAATCAGAGTAGTCATACTCATAAAGATGAAGAAAATCTGCTATGGGATGTCAATCTTCACTCCTAGGGACGCAATCCGGGCTTCAATGATGAGAAATCCACTCCAAAATAGCTCCTAGGGTTTGTTCTTCGCTCTTTCTCTCTCTAAAACTCTGTTTTGCCCAGAAAATCGAATTCCTCTTCCTTGGCTCGAATCTGCCTCCAAAAACCCGACTCTGGGCGAATTACGGGCAGGATTACGGCCGTAATCACTTCCTGCCCGTAATTCACACCAAAACGCACGTTTCACTTAAGCTGCAGGAGGAGGAGATACGCCCGTAATTTCCCAATTACCGCAAGTAATTTGGGAATTACGGCCGTAATTCTTGGGGTCTTGCCCGTAATTTTACCACCGAGAGGGAATTCTGGGGAGAAGGCTCGGCCATTTAATTACGGGCATGCCCTGGCCAATTACGGCCGTAATTTGGCAGGGGCTGCCCGTAATTCTCTCTGTGATTCGCCATTTGACCTCCAAATGACCTGAAACTTGCGCCTATGCACCTCTTTACTTGCTAGGACCTGAAATACGACAAAACAACACAACCTAGCGTAAAATAGGCCAAGGAACAATCAATTCGAGCCAAAATGGACAGGAAACCAGAGTGAAAACACGTGCAAATACGATGCTATCAACGGGTTGAAATTGTCACATCCAAACCAGTTTATTTATTTGCAATAAAGGTGTCATGGGGCTCGTCGTATATATAACAAATGTTCGTTTATTTTTACTCAGCCCATTGTTGGATCTGCTTTAGACAAAGCCCATTTACCAAACTAATAACGAAGGACGAGGAGCCCAGCCACAATCTCATGCTCTTCGGCTGCCATTCATCTTCTTCACCAGACACCAAGAACTCCTCTCATCCACTTGCTCCAGCCAAGGAACCGGAGGACGATCTAGAGAAACCGTGCACAACGTTCCTTCCAAAGCATTGAAGATCAATTCAAATCGATCGACAAGAAGCTCTATGTAGAGGAAGATCAGGTGACGACAAGCGGCAACGATTCGAATTTTCCAGTCTTTTACACTGGAGTTTAGCTTCTGGGTTTTGGCTTTCGCCTTTCTCTTCCACTTTTCATAAATTGATAATCTCATTCCAATTTAGATCTGATTGAATCCAGTTAATCTACAATCAACCCAGGCGGGATTTACAGCGGCAGAGGGGAATCAGGCTCGAAATTATCAACGGGCCGGCGAGAGGGAGGGAAAGAACGGAGATGGGAGCGCTTTTTCTGGGTTCTGAATTCAAATGGGCGTCAAAATATCGCTGGAAAGGATTTTCGGTCAAAATACCGTAAAATATCGTTGAATATCGCGATATTTAGTAATATATCGTATCTCGCCAATTTCAATTTCTCGTCAATTTCTCGCGTTTCGATTTTGGTTTTGAGGACCCGAAACGTTTCGCGTTTCGGCCCGCCGTTCCACGTTTCTGAGTCCTTTTGATGGGTTTCGCGGGTCCTCTGAAGCAGGTGCCGCTGGCCCAATATTTGGATGGGCCAAGACATTTAATCGCTCCAGATAACTTTTCATCATGCAGGCCCATATGAGCAACCCCATCCAGAGCTTTTTGGTTTTATGCCGGATTCTGGCCGATGGGGACGGGCCCAACTCCGGCCACCCCTGGCCCTAAAGCTACGAAGCTGCAGAAACGGATAGAAGGCACGGAAATTTACGGGAGAAACGCCGAAACGTGAAACGTTTCTCCACCTCAAAACCAAATTCGAAACGCGATAAATTGACGATAAATTGAAATTGACGAGATATCACGATATGAAGATAATTCGCGATATTTACGAGATATATGCGATATATTGATTTTCCACGATATATTGGCATGGAGAGCCTCTATAAATTGCCGGAAAAAATCTATAAAGAAGCAGAAAATTGCAGAAAAAATTACACGAGTTTTCTTATTTCGAAGTTCTTTCTTTTTAGCGCCAATTCAAAATAAAACCCCCATTTTCCCCCACGGCGCTCTCACCTTCTGCCTAGTTTGCTCCACACATCTTTCTGAGTTCTGAGTACCGCGAAACTGTTCGAGCCGATGAGTTCTCCTCCACTAATTGGCGGCGACGACGACGAAGTCAGTTCGATTTCTTTCCCCTTTCCTGATTTCTTTCACTTCCTCAACAATGTTTCTAGGGATCCTTTCACTGATTAATTTCTGCGTTTCCCCCCCCTCACTTTGTTCTTTGAGTAGGGCTTCGATTGGGAGGCAGCGGTGAGAGAAATCGACGTGGCTTGCGAAAATGCGAAGCCCTCCTCTTCTTCATTCCACCACAGCCGGCCGTCTTCCGTGCTCGATTTGGATGCGGAGAATCGCCGCCCCGCCGGCGGCGGCGCTTGGAATTCCGAGGGAGCGTCCAATTACTCGTCTTCTGCTCTCGTTAATAATGGGAGGAGGACTGGGAATTGCAGGCAGATGACGCTTGATAGTTTCGTCGGGAAGGCGGGGGCTGGGCGCCAGGTGAAGAAGTGGGTTGTTGAGGATGTAGAAGGGTCTGCAGGGAACATGGGTGAGGTTAGGGAAGGTGGATTTAGTTGTGTTGAGATTGATGCGGAGGCCGCCAAGACTTGGGTATATCCAGGTCAGTTTTTTTTTTCGTTCTTTCTTTTGGCGATTGCTAGGTGAATCTCTTCATTGTTGGTAGTTGGTACCATTCTGTTTGAAGTGCTATCAGTTTGTTGTCCACAACAGGTTTCATTTTTTGTTCTTTCCTATCAATTCCATCTGAAGTTCGTATGAAACCAAGAACTTAGTTGATTGGATTTGGACCACCTTTATAGTATCATCCGTATAACCAATTTTGGCACTCGCGGCTGCAGTCAATGTTCCTCTTCGAGAATACCAGCTCGCCATAACTAGGACAGCATTGTTTTCAAATACATTGGTGGCATTGCCAACTGGCCTTGGAAAGACGCTTATTGCCGCAGTTGTTATGTACAACTACTTCCGTTGGTTTCCAGAAGGTAAACCTAGTTGCAGCTTGCTCCTTATGTATTATAGTCAAAGTTAACTCACTTATTTGCTACAAGTATGAATCGCTTGGAAACATAAATTCCATTTTCATTTAGTGCTGCCAACAACTTTTGCTTTCTTTTCTTTTCCTACTTTTTGAAATATGTCAGCCCCTTGCTCATTTTCTTTATGTAATAAGAGAGAGTAAATAAGTTAACCTTCTCAGCTCTATGAAACATAGATGGTCCTTATATCAGCACGGCCTCTTCCTTGTATTCTTTGGTCATATAAACTCAAATGGGAATGGAAAAGCTCCGACCTTTTGTGCTCATTATATTCAGAAGCCATGCTGATTTGGCTCTATTTCTTTCTCTAAGTTAGTCATTCATCAGTTCTTATCTAGTTTCTTGGAAAATAATCTCCAATCCACTTATTCTTGTTTCATTTGTTCTTTCCTTTTTATACGGTGTTTAGTATACTTCTTACGTAGTTGCTTTTATATGTAAACTTTAGGGAAGATTGTTTTTGCTGCTCCTTCTCGGCCACTCGTACTTCAACAGATAGAAGCATGTCATAATATAGTGGGAATACCACAAGTAAGATCCTTTTCCTGATCAACTGAACAATCGGCCCCATGGTTTCTTTCCTGCAGTTCTTTTATTTTACATCTTCATGAAACTATATAAACCTATTGCAGGAATGGACAATTGATATGACAGGTCAGATAAATCCAACAAAACGAACAGACTTTTGGAAAACGAAACGGGTGTTCTTTGTTACTCCCCAGGTCCTGGAGAAAGATATTCAGGCCGGTAAGTTCTAGATCTCATCCTGGTAATATAATATTCATTGGACATTGTTCTCCTGTTGTCATTTCCAAAAAACGAGCTTCCTCATTCAGGAAAACCGTTGCAGGAACATGTTTAGTTAGAAATCTGGTGTGCTTGGTGATTGATGAGGCTCATCGAGCAATGGGGAATTATGCTTACTGTGTCGCAGTTCGTGAGGTTGGCTATCCTTTTATCATGAAAGTTTGGGTCTTTGTTGGGTGAAATTGTTAATTACTTGAAGTACCACTGATACTATGTAGCTGATGGCTGTACCAGTCGAGCTTAGAATATTAGCCTTGAGTGCTACCCCAGGATGTAAGTCACGCAGCATAGTTTCTACCAATGTTTTAACTTTTGAGCAAAAATAGAATGTAACCTGTGCAATGTTAATGTGAAATCAACTGCTCAGCAAAGCAGCAGACAGTCCAGCAAATTATCGACAACTTGCAGATATCAACCCTGGAATACCGTGATGAAAATGATCCTGATGTCATCCCATATGTTCACAACAGAAAGATTGAATTGATTGCGGTATGAACCACTGTTTATAATGATATCTTCAGGAATCATTTTGGTGAACTATGCGTCTATGCCAGCTAATGACATTAACGTCTTCCTTGTCAACCTAATAGGTGCCTATGGGAAAAGATGCTCTTGACATAAATAAGCTGCTCTTGGATGTCATACGTCCGTATGTGTCTCGGCTTTCTGCTGTTGGACTTTTGCAGAACAGAGACTGCCAGACTGTATGATTCTTAACTGGTGCATTCTCCATGTCCATGGCTTCGAAAATCTTGTGGATTATGTATGCTCAGTGTTTTTTGGAGCTTAAACTTTACAGCTATCAAGATGATTAGTTTCTAATCTAATTGCTTAAACTGATCGTACTTGTTTGTCTTGTTGCTCAATGATCACATATATTTGGTTTTTTCTTACTCACACTCAACGTTTTACAGTTAAGTCCTCCAGATTTACTCAATTCACGTGATAAATTTCGTCGAGCACCCCCACAAGACCTTCCACAGAATAAGTTTGGTGAAATTGAAGCTTGTTTTGGAGGTCTTCTCACCCTTTATCATATAAAAAGGTTACTTTCCAGCCATGGAATAAGGCCGGCATATGAGATGCTGAAAGAAAAGCTGGAACAAGGGTATCTTCTTTGCCATCTCCACTCAGACTGCGTTGACTCGACCACAAGAAGATTGCTTTATACTTTATGCTTATTGATTTATTTGCGCTGGGAGCACATGCGTTTGTTTAGGATCTATTACATCATTCCATGGTAGCAGCCTAGTTTAATAGGGTCCAGGGTGCCAAATTTTGTTCCACATGATAATTTTAGACTCGTTTCTTTGTCTGATGCCTCACGGCTACCACTGTAGACTCGCAGTAGTCAGTGATATAGTTCATTTTGTTATTGTTAAATGTGATTGTCCTTATGCAATCTCTGCTTGGCTAAGCTTAATACTTCCTTCTGCTGTTACTAACTGCTTGGTGCAGATCATTTGCAAGGCTAATGAGTAGAAATGAAGATATTAAGAAAATGAAACTCTTAATGGAAAGAAACTTGACCCATGGTGCACCTAGTCCCAAGTTATCCAAAATGTTGGAAGTACTGATTGACCATTTCAGTGAGTAGCGTATGATTGTCTTTTTCAAATAAATAAATGAAGTTAATATTTGACTTCGAGGTTGCCTTTGTACTGGTTTGCTGCTAAATAACTACAGTTCTTACTAAATGATGCAGAAAGCAAGGAGTCCCAGAACTCACGGGTTATAATATTCTCTAATTTCAGAGGGAGTGTCAGGTGAGAAAGTGATTTACCTCAATTCTCAATACAATAGTGTAGTAAAATCGTGCATGGGATTCCATTTGTGTTCCTGGCATCTACAAACATGTTACTTATGACTCGCCAGCCATAAAATATTATTATTCAATTTTACCGGGACTAATTAGAATTAGATAAATTGTTTGCTCATTTTGTTCCCAACTTCATGTCCATATGACTTTAAATCTTCCAGTGTATGTGGCTAACAAATTTCTACCGTCATTCAGGGATATAATGAATTCCCTAGCCAGCATTAGTGATTTGGTGAAAGCAACTGAATTTATTGGTCAAAGTTCAGGTTCGATAGTTTTCCACTTGTTGTCCTGCCATTGTGGTCACCCCTTGCTAAACTATAAGCTCTGTCTTTCCGAACCCTTTAGATTGTGATGTACTGTTATCTTGTTGATGACAGGTAAAGCTTTGAAAGGCCAATCCCAGAAGGTCCAACAAGCTGTGTTGCAGGTACTAGTACTACATTTCTTTGCTTTCTTTGATCTATGCCTATGCTGACGTCAATCTTTGTCAGAAATTTCGAGCTGGTGGTTACAATGTGATTGTTGCTACATCAATTGGCGAAGAGGGCCTGGACATAATGGAAGTTGATCTTGTAGTATGCTTTGATGCCAATGTATCACCACTAAGAATGATTCAGCGCATGGGTAGAACTGGAAGGAAACATGACGGCAGAGTTGATATCCTTCTCTGTGGTTTTATAATGTTTTCTTTGGTTTTTACTTTTTATTCAATGGAAGTAACTGTCCTTTTATTCTAAGTTTCTAACTCTACCACTAGTCGGTTCTATAATCTGTATGTCCCTTGAAGTCGCTCCTTGACTATGACTCACTGGTTTTAGCTTGTGAAGGGTCAGAAATGAAGGGTTACACTCGAAAACTAGCCAACAGCAGAACTATAACGAAACACATGCACAATGGCGGTACAAGTAGCTTTAGTTTCCATTCTAGCTCAAGGATGGTGAGACAAATTCATGTCACTGGGTTGTACCTTATGGATGTTTGTTTTAGTCTCTGCTTATATTTTTGCATTTTCATCCCAGATTCCCCACATTTTCAAACCAGAAGTCCAATTTGTTGAGATGTCAATCGAACAATACATTCCTCGTGGAAAGAAAGTTAAAGATGCCACTGATATCCAGACACCTATATTCACTAAGAAGCTAACTGCTGCCGAGAGTGCTGTGGTTGCCAAGTATTTCCAGCCTTGCCCTTGGAGGCCGTCTCTTATTGCCTTCCCAAGTTTCCAGGCATTTCCCTCCCGGGTGCATCAAGTAATGCACTCTCACAGAACAGGGATGCTGATCGATACAATGCAAAATCTTCAAGCTTTGTCCTTTCCTCTGGACAGCAGAGGTTTTTCCTTTGAGGTGGGCTTATTCTGCTTTGAGGTTTATTCTTTTACCCAACAACTATTGTGATGTCCTCTTAATTATCCTTATGGATGCAGGATGAAGCAGCTTCAGGTAAGTGTCAGGGAACTGAGAGCCCAAATAGAGATGATAATGATGAAGAAGGTACTTTTTGCTGAATTATCTCGTAGGACAGTTCAACTTAGGTTCTTTGACTGATTAGTTACATCAGTGTGGTATTAATGGTGTGAACTTACTTGTCTTCATCCTAAACTTCACCCAATATATACTCTATACCACAATTTGTTACAGGATTTACTTATTAAAGAGCCATCGTGATCCAAATGAAAATGAAGTTCCTTTTTTGTGAATGATGGGATCGATTTGTTTATATCTCTCTTTTCTTGATATCTTCATACGATATTTATAAACATATGCATACCTCAGTTAAATGCATCGTGTGCAGCCTTCCTTCCCATTGTTTTTCGAAGGCTGTTATCCATTGCAGTAGTCTGTCTATTTGATTCTGAATTGCAAAAAAGTGGGAAGCTACAAAATGGCATAGTTCAGTGTTGAGGGAGTGGAGGAATTCTAGAATTCTTGATTTTCGTCCTGTAGGAGTTAGGTCTATCTTTCATTTTCATATAATTTGCTCGCCGAGGTTGTCCTATTTGGTTTGAACTTCTCTTGAGCTAATCTTTGAGCTCTTTGGTGAAACTTCGGGTGCTAAGATGTGACATTTGAAATTGTATGCACGTCTCGATCCTGTTATCCATTCTTATTGCATTCTGAAACTTGTGCATGCATGGCAGACTTGGGAGTGGGCTATGGCACCCCAGAGCACAACTCACAGAGCAATTCAAGGGATTCTGAAGGACCAATTTCTCAAAAACTGACAACCAAGAACCTTAGTGTTTTAGATCTTACTGGGGAAAGTCATCCAACTCATGCTTTTCTCTTTGGCTCTGATTTTGTTTCTGTGGATTCTCTTGGCAAGGTCCTAATTTCATACGTCCCTTCACTTCCTTTGAAACTGGTATCATATCCGAGGTGTCCTGACAATGAGGCTGTACCTCTAAACTGTGCAAAACGAAGTCCTTCACATTTGAAGACTTTGGTTGAAGGCTCCAGTGGACCGACTGTTCTACAAAAATTTTGCACTCACTTAAATTCACTGTCCGAGGATCCGTGCAAAAGAAATATCTCTGTGGATGGCTTGAAATTGTCTGAGAGTGCAATTTTGGTGGGAGATATGGTGAACGGAGGAGATAGTGTTGGTGATAGCTTTGTTGATTTTGGGATCAATTCGCCTTGTCCGAGTGCTGATGAGTGCTGTCACAGTCGTGAAGATACTGAACTGAGTCCTCGCTTAACCAACATGATGCAAAATGGTGTTGTTCCAGAGTCTCCTACGAATGATCATGGTCAGTTTACATCCTTTAGAATGATGTGGTTGAATTGGCTTCAGGTATTACTTAACTCCATTCTATAGAGGAAATTGATTCAGTGTTGGATTATTTTTTTGCAGATTTGCTGAATGATAAAGAGAGAGCTGAAATTATCACACCCATGAAACTGCATACCAGATTGCTGCCTGTCTCTCCAGGTCCTTGGAGAAATGAATCAAATGCAGCTGCTGTAATTGGGGAAGCAGATATGGCTGATCCTTCTATCATTGATCAAATTCAGACTCCTTTGCGTGAAACAAGTGCTGCCAAAGTAGACAAAATTGTCTCTTCAATTTCTCCTGCTCCCAAAGCAAGCAACTCCAGCAAAGATTGGCCTTTCAGTCCTGCTGATGATAAATCAGACAGTGTTAAACCGGTACGCAGGCTTAAAAGACTCCGAAAAGTTGGGGATCTTGAGAAGAATAAGAATCCAGGAAGCATTAAAGATGCTCCTTCTTTCCATGAAGCAAATCCTAATGTATGTGTCAACGGAGCCCACAGAAATCAACCTAAACAAGGGAAAGGTACCGTGGAAAAGCTTTTGTCTCTAACCGCCGTCTGCTTCCTATATAACTGCATTCTCTAATAATGGCTGACTGGGATAAGTTATTTATGGCTGTGTAGCTTCTATTGTTGCTTGTCGAGTGGAAAGACCGGATGTTTTATATGGAAGTTACTGATTAGCATTGTCGTTCACAGGTAAAAGGGAGCAATTTGGCATCATCCAGGACTTCATTGAAGAGGAAGCCGAGTAAGTTTGAAGTCTGACATTGCTGATAAAAAATAATTATATCGTGCCAGTAATTCCTTATATGTGTTTGCTTGTAGGCATAGGCTGATAAGTACCTACCCATATTTCCACATTGAGTTGCCCTGTGTAGTTGAATAACAATATGGTTTGTCTTGTTTCCTTTTACTGCATATAATTTTTCAGGGTTTCTGAAAATGGCGAAGTATCCGAGGATGAGAGAGTTGATGAAGATGATAATTCGTACGACCAGAGTTTTATAGACGACAGAATAAACCCCACAGCTGGAAGTGCTGAAACACAACCTAGTCGAGTGGACATGATGGCAGTTTATAGGTACTTCCTGGTCTCCCTTAACAAATATAACCTTTTGCTTTCATACATAGTTCATGTTTGTCTTATCAATCCATTTCCCATTCCAAACTAACAAAGCTTTATGCAACAGGCGTTCGTTGCTCAGCCAATCACCAATGGTGAGGGAATCCCCTTCAGCATCTTTTACTCCAGATTGCAACTCTTCTTGCCCTAGCGGTAAAAACAATACCACTGGATCTTCCTCTACCAACACGCTTCATTCACTAAGGACACCTCTACATGAGAACCAAGAAGGGCTACAGTCTCCAGCTGTTCCTTGCACCGCAGTCTCTAACATCCCAACAGAAAACAGCACTATGTTGGAGATGAGGAAGAGAAGAAAGCTGACTTTCCATCAACCTGCAGCATCTGTTCCCATCATCAACTTGGAAGAAGAATTCTCTAAGCAGTTGGAGGCTGACCCGAATCCTTCCAACAACATCGATGATCCTGATACCCATGAAGACATGCTCTACGACGATCAGTTCTTTGCTGCTCTTGATGCTTTGGAAGCACAAGCTACTACTACTCAGCAGAACAGGCCTAATTTATCTGTACAGAAGCAGGATACTATGTTGCCAAACTCAGAACTTCATGGCACACCAACATTTGATCTCGGGATTTAGTAGTAATCCTCCAAATTGGCAAAAGGCTGAATGCTTTGCAAGTGAAATGTCCTGCTGCTGCTGCATTGCAGTGCATTGTACAGATCGGCTCGATAGGGGAAGTGGATGTATAAGTTATATTCGACAACTTGAATCTTCTTGGGAAGTGCCTTGTACAGAAAGAGGGAAAGAAAGGGAATGGTGAATCCCATTTTGGTTGTCAGGCTGCTAACCGGATTTGGTAACCGTTTTAAATCCTCCGAAATTATCAATCGGTTTGGTTTTAGAGGTAAAACCAGAGGAAACTTTTAGAGACGGAGACATGACCCGTTGCAAAAACCACAAAACACAGGAATAAGTTCATTCCTACCAAACGACCCTTAGGCCCTGTTTACTTTCATTTCTGTTTCCTGTTTTTGAGAAAACAGATGTTGAAAACAGGTGAAAACGACATTTTTTCGTTTTCGAAAACAGTAGGAATTTGCCACTTTCTGTTTTCAGAGTTGGAAACGAATAGAAAACAGAATGAAAAGTAAACATGTTTTCTCGTTTCGTTTCCCAAATTTGTAACATGAAAACAGAAAACAGGAAACGAAAATGGAAGTGAACATGGCCTTAAATATTCTTGACGTGACCCGAAATAGTGAATTGGGCTAAAGCCCAGATGAGTACTAGTCTACTAGATTTAGCCCTCAAAAACCAGATAACAAAAGGAAGCTTCACTCTCCCGCCTCCGGCGATTCCCCACCGCCATCTCCGAGCTCCCACTCTGCCCATGGCGGCGTCTCGTCTGGTTCCCAGATTACATTGCCTTAAGAATAGGCTGCCCTTATCTCCACCCTCACTGATTTCTATCTGCTACCGTTGTCATCAATCAGTTTCAATCCCCTGTGCCGATGACGTTAACCACGACGGCGGCTCCAATTCATGGTCGTCACCGCCGGTGGAACAATCTCTGGCCCGCTCAATCTGTTCCTTGGTAAGCGAATCGTTCTGGCAGCGAACTTCTCACGCGAGTAAATCGCCTCCAGAGCTCGTTCTGGGGATAAACCCTGAGGATTTGTCCCGCGAACAGGCCATCACAGTTGTTGCTTCGCTTGCGGAGCAAGAGGGCTCGATGGTGGCTCTTAGTTTCTTCTATTGGGCGATTGGGTTCCCCAAGTTCAGACATTTCATGAGGTTTTACATTGTCTCTGCTACTTCTGTACCTGGGAACAAGAATTTTGAGGTAGCTCATGAAGTGATGCGGTGTATGGTGAGGAGTTTTTCTGAGATTGGGAAGTTGAAGGAGTCCGTGAACATGGTTATTGAGATGCGTAACCAGGGATTGGCATTGAGCTCTAGGACAATGAACTATATAATCGAGATTGCTTGTCAGATGGGCCTGTTTGAGTATGCAGAGGACGTGTTTGATGAAATGCGTGTTAGAGATGTGTGTCCGGACTCGACTAGTTACAAGTTGATAGCTTTGGCTTATTGCAGAATGGGGAAAGTGTCAGTTGCAGACAGGTGGTTAGGGGATATGGTTGAGAGAGGTTTTCTTGTTGATAATGCTACTTGTACTTTGATGATTACCGCATTTTGTGATGAAGGGCTTGGGAATAGAGCTTATTGGTATTTCAATAAGTGGATTCAAATGGGTTTGAAACCAAATTTGATTAACTTTACTGCTCTGATCAATGGGTTGTGCAAGAGGGGGAGCATTAAGCAAGCATTCGAGACGTTAGAGGAGATGGTGCAGAATGGGTGGAAGCCAAATGTTTATACTCATACGGTCTTGATTGATGGGCTGTGTAAAAAAGGCTGGACCGAGAAGGCATTTAGGTTGTTTCTTAAGCTTGTTAGAAGTGACAATTACAAGCCAAATGTACATACTTATACTTCCATGATTAATGGGTATTGCCAAGAGCACAAGTTGACTAGGGCAGAGATGTTATTCAGCAGGATGAAGGAGCAGGGATTGGTCCCCAATACCAATTCGTATACTTGTCTCATCAATGGACATTCTAAAGCCGGAAATTTCGAAAGAGCGTATGAATTAATGGATATCATGAGTAAAGAAGGTTTTGCTCCTAATATATTTACTTACAATTCTCTTCTGAATGGGTTATGCAAAAAGCAGAGGTTTTGGGAGGCTTATGAACTGCTTAAGACGGGAATCCAAAGTGGACTACAGGCTGATAAGGTGACTTACACCATCCTCATGTGTGAGCATTTCAAGCAGGCTGATTACAAGTGTGGCCTCGCATTTTTCAGTAAGGTGTTCAAAAATGGATTCCAACACGACATGCATACGTATAACGCACTGATTGCTGCTAGTTGCAGACAGAAAAAGATGAAGGAAAGTGAGAAATTCTTTGAGGAAGCTGTTAGTCTTGGTTTGGTTCCTACAAAGGAAACATACACATCCATGATATGTGGATATTGTCGAGATGGAAAGGTCAGCTTGGCTATGAAAGTTTTCAGCAAGATGAAAGAGCGTCGATGTTTGCCCGATAGTTTTACCTATGGAGCTCTAATAAGCGGGCTCTGCAAAGAATCCAAGTTGGATGCGGCCCGTCAGTTGTATGATACGATGTTCGATCGTGGCCTGTCCCCGTCAGAAGTGACCCGTGTGACATTAGCATATGAGTACTTTAAACAAGATGATTCTGCAACTGCAATTATCATCATGGAGCGCTTGGAGAAGAAGTTGTGGATTCGTACCGCTACTACATTGATCAGGAAGCTTTGCAGTGAGAAGAAAGTGGGGATTGCCTCACTTTTGTTTCATAAATTGCTGGACAAGGATTCAAATGTTGATCGTGTAACTTTGGCTGCATTCACCACATCTTGCTATGAGTCCAACAAGTATGCTCTTGTCTCTGACTTGTCAAAGAGAATTTCTCGATGATTTCCTGACATGGAGCAATTGATCGAGCTCAACGTGGATCTATACTGCTTCCACTTGCCAAGGGGTATTTGCCCATGCTGGGTCTGCTCTGAAACTGCCTTCACACTCAGGTTAGCTTGAAACAGTTTGATTGTCCGATCTCCATGTTAGTGTAATTTATTATCTTCCAGCTTGTTTTGAAGGTTCGGCGAGTAGTATGCTGTTCTCATCATTTCATTTTCCTAAGCGAATCAATTGGCTAAGGATCTAGCTTAGCTATAAATCAGGTGCAAGCAGCTGGAGAGCCTCTTACTTCCCATGTTATTGTTCATCTTTTTTGTTCATGTAATCTCAGAAGAGAAGAACAATTATGAATGCTCCCTGCAAGTTAGAGAATATAGGACGGTACTTGCCAAATTTATCAGTCGTGGGACTTGAAGTTGGCCATCATCACCAGAATGAGTTATTTGGGTTATCACGGGTGAACGACAGCTGTTCATTATATGGCATAAATGTCGTCGGGATATAAGGGGCAACATAGGCTGATGGTAAAGAATCTAGCATGTTGGTACGACCATACCATTTCAGAAAGAACAGTTTTGACTGGTGCATAATCCTTGGGAGTGGATATGCAGTATTTCATTGCTAAGTTGAGTTACATGGCTGGCCAAGGAAATCATTTGGCTAGGTGCAGATTCACAGTATGGAGAATATGCTCCTATTGCTTCTTGGCTGAGGGACTATCACATTGCCTGTAATTTCTGCTTCATCTCCTCAGAAGGCTGATTCGTCTGTTAAACGAAGTGGGCTCAATGCGTTGAAAGAAGAATCTCTTGTTTTAAATCAGGATATGATTTGGTGGGTTTAGACTTTCTGCGACAATGGTTGCTTCCCTTAGTCTTGAAGGTCACTGATGGATTACAGAATGGAAGTTCGGTGTTTCGACATTGGATGACATCGAGGGCGCACATCTACACTTGCAAGTTCATTATACCACCAAGGTAATTTTGTTTGCTTATTAATTGTGTAACAGCATAGTGAGGTTTTCTCATTTCCTTGAAGATGCATGTCTGAACTTCTTGGACTGACTTCTTCCTCTGACTAACCCCATCCGTTAGATTGAAAAGAAAACTAATGTCCAAAACTAATTAATGAGAAACATCTCCTCCTTAACTAGTCAATACACTTTTATCAGACTCCATTAATTTTCCAGATTCTCCTGCACCAATCCAAATCCATTAACAAGAAAGAGAGAATCAGAAAAACCAAATGAAGAATTAAGTGTCATTTAATTTTGACAGCTTTAGTGCCTTTATAAAAGGAGAGTAAACAAACCAGTCACTGGACTCACCACATAACACAGCAAACTCTCATTTCCTCACCTCACTGAACTTCACAAAAAGAAGAGAAAGAGATCATCAGAAACCAATTCCAGAATGAAGAGCTCCACCATCTTCCTTCTCTTCGTAGCAACCTTCTTGGTCATAGCTGGTGAACTTCCCCATCCCCATTTTTCTCTCTTATCTCTGTTTCCTCGCTTTTGCGCCGAAACATCAATAGTATTTCTTCGTATATATCGGTAGACAGTAGATACGCGCCCTTGATTTCATTTTTGAGTAAAAATTTTCGAAAAAATTGACTGTGCAGGAAATAAAGAAGTGATGGCAGCTGAAGGAGGCTACTGTAAGAAAGGAACTATCAAGCGGAACCTTCACCATGACTGCTTCGATGAAGAATGTAACTTTCAATGCAAAGGGAAATTTGGACAGAAGGCTCAAGGGCATTGCGAGTTGGAGTTGTTCTGCAATTGCTTCCTGCCCTGTTGATTCATTTGTCTTAGAACAATATATATAAAACCCTATGAAAAATTCTCTGCTTTCCAACTTTTGAGATATTGCAATGTGGTATCGTATATGATTGATTGGCGTTAAATTAAGGGGAGATTAGAGAAATCGTCCCCATACTGCTGTGTTGGGTCGGATCGAGAATAACACGGGTACCGGATCCCAGACCGATAGGCGATTTCAGAGGGCGTATGAAACAGTCGAACCACGCGGGCAACCAAATTACGATTTCACAATCATTTGCTACATTGTGATACAGAATTGGAGCCAGATCATCAAATTTTTTGAATCTTACTTGCCGACATGTATTTAATATGATGATATCGCTTCGAGTTACAACCATTCATTGCCTTTTTTTGCAAATAAAATTGTTATTGTAATGATTATTACGTAAAATTTTGAACGTATCAAAACACTAAAAGAATAATTAAAAGACGAGAAACGATAAATTAATTTTCCTATAAATTAAATTCTTTTGCTTTCTTGTTCGGTGTATGACCTTTTGAAAACCGAAATCATTTTAAGACAGAGTCAAATAATCCAAATGAAGTCAAATCCATAACTAATTGTTCGCTAGGTACACGAGGATTCTCGTTTTGGAAACAAATCGATAGTTATCTGTAAGAACTGACGAATGACATTCTTCATATAAGTCCTCCTCCTCTTATTTTTTTTCCCTCACTTGATCGAACGTCGCAGCCGAAAAGAAGAACAAAACCGACCGAAAATGAAGAGCTCCACCATTTCCCTTCTCTTCTTGTTGTCCTTCTTCATCGTCGCCGGTGAAATTTCCATCTCCATCTCTTGTGTGATTTCTCTCTGCGACGACACTATTTTACTGAACATATGTAACGTTGGAAGTCACTTGCGCAGGAAATGAAGAGGTGATGATCATGGCGGCAGCTGCAGGAAGGTACTGCGATGAAGGCGTCGTCAAGCTTCCGCCGAGCTTTGATGAATGTTACGTCGGCGATTGTTTCAGAGCTTGTCAGGGACAGTTCGGGCCTGCTGCTCGAGGGCGATGCAATCTTCTGGAGTGCAGATGCTCCTTGCCTTGTTAGATTTATAATCGTCTGAATTGATTTCAACAAATATTTTCAAATAAAATTAAGTATCGGGTTTAGGGCGTTACAAAAAAAAAAAAAAAATAATAAATATTCATTGAAATTTCGAATCGATATAACATTTGTAAGTTTTTTTGTGGTGTTGTCGGTATGATACCAATTGAATACGTTATAGTTTGTTTTTTTGTATAATTTTAAACAACCATATCTCGTCCTGCGTATACTAGATCACTTGAACCATGATTATAAATCCACGTCAGCAATCCCGGCGTCTGCGTTTGGTCGTCACGTCGCCAACCCGGCGTCAGCGTCCAGTCATCACGTCGTCAGGTCACCATCTTCCTGTCTTCACTCGCCATCATCCTGCCTGACTCCGCCGTCGTCCCACGCCGTCCAACATCTCCCCAACCGGTCGTCGCCCCATCTTGCCGGTCCCCCGCTGTTGAGGCAAAGTTTGTTAATAATATTATTGTTTACATTGAAAAACGAAGAGAATTTGTTAATAATGAATTCGTCATTTGTTGTAAATTATGTAGGAAATGTTGATAATGCTATTGTATATTGTTAATAATACTGAGCTGAAAAGTTGATAATAGCGTCACTAAAAATGTTTACTACACTACAAGTATATCAAGCTTCAATTTGATACTTGTCAAAAAAAAAAACTTCAATTTGATTGACAATGTTAATAATAGCGTCACTTGAAAATGTTAATAATGTAAGTGAAAACATTAATATGTACTGTTAAAACGTTGACAACTCGGTTAAGCTGCTTTAAAAACCTCAAATCATATGATCATCATATTGTGACAACATTTTAGTAACTGGTTAATTATTCCGATGATCTCATTAATATAATGATGTGGTAGGTTAATAATGTTTACAACACGATCGGTAAATTGCGTTTCAATTTGATTGAGAAGGTTAATAATAGCATCACGGAAAAATGTTAATAACGTATGTGAAAAAACTAATATGTATTGTTGACAGCGTTGACAACTCTGTTATGTTGCTCTAAAAATCTCAAATCAGAGGCTCCCCTTATTGTCACATTTTAGTTACTGGTTAATAATTTCAGTAATATAATTAATAATAGAGTCGCAGAGGTTAATACTGTGGAAAATACGACCATTAAATCGCGTTTTTTATTGATGATTCTAGTAGCGTCAGTAAAAATATTAATAACGTATGCCTAATCATTAATATGTACTGTTTAAAATGTTGGCAAATCCGTTATATTGCTTTGAAAACCTCAATCCACCAGCTGCTCAATCCACAGGCTCCTCCGTTACGTTGACAACTCTGTCGCGTTTCTTTTCAATGGTAAGCGATGGACGTAGCGGGCCGACAACAAGTTTGTTCTTACATATCTTGGATTGTGGTATATCATGTAGCACTACAAAAAATTTGATTATTATGTTCAAAATACTAATGATGAAAGTACGTTAATAATGAACAAAGATTGTTTATACTACACGTTAATTAAACCGGCAGGTTAATACTAGTAAAAAATTGAACATGACTTTGAAAATATTACTAATGGATGAAGAGACACTAATAATAAACTAAGATTGATAATATTACACGTAATTCAGCAGACAGATTAATAATAGCACACGCTTAATAATAAGACGAGCCATTATCAAATCATGCACGATTGACTACAACACTTCAAAACATTACAAATCACTATGAACTAAATTGATATTAAACTATATTAGTGAATTAATGTCGATTACAAACAAATTGATAAAACAATTACAAAGCGACAATAAAAAAGTTAATAGCACAACATAACATAATTAACAAGCCTATCAGAAAACATTCACGATACGACAAACGTTGATTATTGGGCGGGTAAAAATATTGATCACAGCCCTTCAAAAGATTACAAATCATGGCTAAGTAAATTGATCATAACTGTATTAGTGAAAAACCCTAAGCAGACACTATGGGTGCATCTGCATTCTTCTTCATAGGCTTACTAAACGGTGCAGACTTACGCGTTGTATTCTTTATACACGCCATATTGTGGACCAGTGTAAAAAATTAAAAATTACATATAAAAATATTAATAACTCATTCTCTAATAACGATCAATACAAACAGAAAATGTTAATAACGAACATAACTTAATATTGTTGATAATGGCGGATCAGAAAGGTACAAATATAAAAAAATAAAATTTATAATTTTCTACACAATTTGGATAAAAACCATAACACGAAAAAATTGATAACAGTGTTAAAAAAATTGTCACGTGAGCAACGGACATTACAAAAAATTACCAATTGCACGACATATTGATTAATAATAGAGAACAAAAGGTTGAGAACGAGCACATATTGGTTAACAATGGAGATAAAAACAGTTTGTAAACGCCCACAGAATGATTAATAATAGATACCAAAAGGTTGAGAACGAGCATAGATTGATTAACAATGGACACAAAAAAGTTTGCGAACGTCCACGAAATGATTAATAATAGACACCAAAAAAGTTAAAAATAAATACTATTGTGCAGCGACAACGCAAAAAAACTACTTTCGTGCAACGCCAAAACCCTAATCCCATGCAGCGACGCGACGACAAACCCACAAATACGAAATAAATATTGGAGACGAAAAAATTGACTTGTAGAGATTGATTAACAATGGACACAAATAATTGACTTGCACGACAGATTGATTAATAATAGAGAACAAAATGTTGAGAATGAGCACATATTGATTAATAATGGAGACAAAAACAGTTTGTAAATGCCCACGGAATGATTAATAATAGATACCAAAAGGTTGAGAACGGGCACAGATTGATTAACAATGTACACAAAAAAGTCTGCGAACGTCCACGAAATGATTAATAATAGACACCAAAAAAATTAAAAATAAATACTATTGTGCAGCGACAACGCAAAAAAACTACTACCATACAACGCCAAAACCCTAATCCCATGCAACGACGAAAAACCCCACAAATACGAAATAAACACCTTAAACGCCGCCGACGAGAGATAAGGGTTCGACTACGGGGTAGACTGGGAGTTGAAACAGGGTTTGGCGACGGGGTAGCCCTTATCACGGACAGGGCTCAACGACGGCGGCTATGGAATCGGCGATGGTGGATTGGGACGACGACGGGAAAGGGAGCTGCCAGCGACGACGAGGAGTAAAACAGGAACAGGAGCAGAATCACCAGTGGGCGACGGTGTAGAACAGGCAGCTACGGCGACAAAGGCAGCTGTGTTTTGCGTTGGTGGACTTGAACGACGACTGCAGCGGGAGCTAGCTGCCCTCGGCGGAGAACTTGAGAATCACTGGCCGAAGAAGGGACGATCGGGAGAGACTGTTCACCTGCCTGCGGGAGGAAGAAGAAACAGACAGGGGGACGTTTGCGAGAGGGAAAATAAAGAGACGTGAGTTGGGGTTGCGGTTTTTAATTGTTTTGTAGTCTCCTTAATACCCCTAACAACTATTTAACTAATAACTCCCCAATAACTACCTAAAATTGAGTAAGCCAATCAAAAAAAGAGGCCTTAAGGACCTGAACTTAGGCCTGATGCGACCGTTGCAAAAACCACAAAACACAGGATTACAGGAATAAGTTCATTCCTACCAAACGACCCTTAAATATTCTCGACGTGACCCGAAATAGTGAATTGGGCTAAAGCCCAGATGAGTACTAGATTTAGTACCTCCAAAACCAGAAAACAAAAGGAAGCTTCACTCTCCCGCCTCCGGCGATTCCCCACCGCCATCTCCGAGCTCCCACTCTGCCCATGGCGGCGTCTCGTCTGGTTCCCAGATTACATTGCCTTACGAATAGGCTGCCCTTATCTCCACCCTCACTGATTTCTATCTGCTACCATTGTCATCAATCAGTTTCAATCCACTGTGCCGATGACGTTCACCACGACGGCGGCTCCAATTCATCATCGTCACCGCCGGTGGAACAATCTCTGGCCGGCTCAATCTGTTCCATGGTAAGCGAATCATTCTGGCAGCAAACTTCTCACGCGAGTAAATCGCCCCCAGAGCTCGTTCTGGGGATAAACCCTGAGGATTTGTCCCGCGAACAGGCCATCACAGTTGTTGCTTCGCTTGCGGAGCAAGAGGGCTCGATGGTGGCTCTTAGTTTCTTCTATTGGGCGATTGGGTTCCCCAAGTTCAGACATTTCATGAGGTTTTACATTGTCTCTGCTACTTCTGTACTTGGGAACAAGAATTTTGAGGTAGCTCATGAAGTGATGCGGTGTATGGTGAGGAGTTTTTCTGAGATTGGGAAGTTGAAGGAGTCTGTGAACATGGTTATTGAGATGCGTAACCAGGGATTGGCATTGAGCTCTAGGACAATGAACTATATAATCGAGATTGCTTGTCAGATGGGCCTGTTTGAGTATGCAGAGGACGTGTTTGATGAAATGCGTGTTAGAGATGTGTGTCCGGACTCGACTAGTTACAAGTTGATAGCTTTGGCTTATTGCAGAATGGGGAAAATGTCAGTTGCAGACAGGTGGTTAGGGGATATGGTTGAGAGAGGTTTTATTGTTGATAATGCTACTTGTACTTTGATGATTACCGCATTTTGTGATGAAGGGCTTGGGAATAGAGCTTATTGGTATTTCAATAAGTGGATTCAAATGGGTTTGAAACCAAATTTGATTAACTTTACGGCTCTGATCAATGGGTTGTGCAAGAGGGGGAGCATTAAGCAAGCATTCGAGACGTTAGAGGAGATGGTGCAGAATGGGTGGAAGCCAAATGTTTATACTCATACGGTCTTGATTGATGGGCTGTGTAAAAAAGGCTGGACCGAGATGGCATTTAGGTGGTTTCTTAAGCTTGTTAGAAGTGACAATTACAAGCCAAATGTACATACTTATACTTCCATGATTAATGGGTATTGCCAAGAGCACAAGTTGACTAGGGCAGAGATGTTATTCAGCAGAATGAAGGAGCAGGGATTGGTCCCCAATACCAATTCGTATACTTGTCTCATCAATGGACATTCTAAAGCCGGAAATTTCGAAAGAGCGTATGAATTAATGGATATCATGGGTAAAGAAGGTTTTGCTCCTAATATATTTACTTACAATTCTCTTCTGAATGGGTTATGCAAAAAGCAGAGGTTTTGGGAGGCTTATGAGCTGCTTAAGACGGGAATCCAAAGTGGACTACAGGCTGATTAGGTGACTTACACCATCCTCATGTGTGAGTATTTCAAGCAGGCTGATTACAAGTGTGGCCTCGCATTTTTCAGTAAGGTGTTCAAAAATGGATTCCAACACGACATGCATACGTATAACGCACTGATTGCTGCTAGTTGCAGACAGAAAAAAGATGAAGGAAAGTGAGCAATTTTTCAAGGAAGCTGTTCGTCTTGGTTTGGTTCCTACAAAGGAAAAATACACATCCATGATATGTAGATATTGTCGAGATGGAAAGGTCAGCTTGGCTATGAAAATTTTCACTAAGATGAAAGAGCGTCGATGTTTGCCAGATAGTTTTACCTATGGAGCTCTAATAAGCGGGCTCTGCAAAGAATCCAAGTTGGATGCGGCCCGTCAGTTGTATGATACGATGTTCGATTGGGGCCTGTCCCCTTCAGAAGTGACCCGTGTGACATTAGCATACGAGTACTTTAAACAAGATGACTCAGCAACTGCAATTATCATCATGGAGCGCTTCGAGAAGAAGTTGTGGATACGAACCGCTACTACATTGATCAGGAAGCTTGGCAGTGAGAAGAAAGTGGGGATTGCCTCACTGTTGTTTCATAAATTGCTGGACAAGGATACTAATGTTGATCGTGTAACTTTGGCTGCATTCACCACAGCTTGCTATGAGTCCAACAAGTATGCTCTTGTCTCTGACTTGTCAAAGAGAATTACTCGATGATTTCCTGGCATGGAGCAATTGATCGAGCTCAACGTGGATCTACACTGCTTCCACTTGCCAAGGTGTATTTGCTCATGCCGGGTCTGCTCCGAAACTGCCTTAATACTCAGGTTAGCTTGAAACAGTTTGATTGCCCGGTCGCCATGTTAATGTAATTTATTATCTTCCAGGTTGTTTTGAAGGTTCGACGAGTAGTATGCTGTTCTAATCATTACATTTTCCTAAGCGAATCAATTGGCTAAGGATCTAGCTAGCTTTAATTCAGGTGCAAGCAGCTGGAGAGCCTTTTACTTCCCATGTTATAGTTCCATCTTTTTTGTTCATGTAATCTCAGAAGAGAAGAATTATGATGAATGCTCCCTTCAAGTTAGAGAATATAGAACGGTACTTGCCAAATTTATCAGTTTTGGGACTTGAAGTTGGCTATCATCACCAGAATCAGTTATTTGGGCTATCACGGGTGAACGACAGCTGTTCATTACATGGCATAAATGTCGGCGGGATATAAAGGGGCAACATAGGCTGATGGTAAAGAATCTAGCATGTTGGTACGACCATACCATTTCAGAAAGAGCAGTTTTGACTGATGCATAATCCTTGGGAGTGGATATGCAGTATTTCATTGCTCAGTTGAGTTACATGGCTGGGCAAGGAAATCATTTGGCTTGGTGCAGATTGATAGAACTCAAGTAGAGCTCTACCGGTGTTTTAGGGATTTGGGATCAATTAGGGATTGATCCCGGAGTTAGGAAGTGACAAGAGAATGGAGTTGGGGATTTGGAAAGAACAAGGGAAGGGAAAAGGGTGGCTGGCCGCCAGCAAAAGGGGAGGAAGGAAGGGGGAGAAGCTGCTGTTCGCAGCAGAGGGAAGAGAGGAAAGAGGTGGGGTCGGCAGAGGGAAGTGAGGGAGAGACAATTAGGCTTTTCTGATTAATCTCTTTCTTAACCCTAATTCTAACTTACAATAGTTTATATAGAAAATGACCAATTTCCTACTACTACCCAATCTATCAATTATTCCCGACTAGCCCTCATAATCCCAATAATAATAAACCGACAATTAATCAACTAAAATATAAGTTTCTATCATCCCCGTTCCCTTCGAAAATCAACCTTGTCCCCAAGGTTGATCCTCTAGCTCACTAGGTCTCCTCTTCATCATTTCCAGCATCCTCAGCATAGTCCTCTGCGTCATCCTCCCATCGTCCCACCAGCATCATCAAGTCTTCCTTGGGGCACTGATGCCCAATGGTGAATCGGCCATCACACTTGAAGCACTTGCCTTCACGCCTCTTCTGGTCAATCTCGGCCGGTGACAGCCGCGCGAAACCCTTTGGTATGGCCCTCGGCCCCATCCTGGCTACCGGAACGGGCCCTCCACTGCCAGTGATAGCCCCGGTCGGCCCTACCCCCGCCGCTCCTCCTGCGCCTCCACTACTCCCACTGCTCGACTTCGGAAACCGACCAATGGCGCTCCTCCAACTAGCGAGCTCTTCCTCCTTATGACCTGCAAGTCGGAAAGCCGTCTTCAGGGAGTCAGGCTCAAACACCCGGACTGCCGCTGCTATCTCGGGCTTGAGACCCGCCATGCACAGCCCCACCAAGGTGTCCTCTGAGACTCCCTTGCACTGATTTCCCAACTTGAAAAACTCTGCCCGGTATTCAGCCACCGTGCCGGTCTGCTTTAGTTTTGCCAACTGCTCCGGCGCCCACCCCTCTGACTTCCCAAACTGATAACGGAGCTCTTCCTGAAACATATGCCAGGTGATCGGGGTGGCTGCCGCGGCATAGGATCGTTCCATCCACTCCCACCACTGGAGCGCATCTCCCTCCAGATAAAACGACGCCAGATAGGCCTTTCTCTCCTCCGGGACCGGATGGTTTCTAAACCACCTCTCTGCTGCATACAACCAAAGACCTGCATCCTCTTGCCCATTGAATTTGGGAAACTCAATGGTCGGAGGCTTAGCTCGAAAAACCACTCCATCCATTCCTTCATAATTCATATAGCGAGACCCATACCTGTCATTTCCGGGAGTCCTCCACGGCGGCCCCAAAGAAGATCCCGGCATCCGCTTCGGGTTCTCATAGCCATAGTCTCCCGGATAGTTGCCCTGCAGGTTTGGGTAGTTGCCCTGCAGATGTGGGTACCCTCCTGGCACGTGAGTTGCCCCGTACGGAATCTCCCCGCCAGCTGGTTCCCGGTAGTCCACCCTCCTGTACTGCTGGGCCGTCGGGTTCGGGCGATGCCCGGTTCGTCCCACTTCCGGCCGACCCATCCCGGTTCGACCCGGTCCGGTTCGGCTCCCTTCGGTTCGGTCAGCGTCGGTCCGACCTATCCCGGCTCGACCGGCCCCGGTCCGACCCCCTTCGGTCCGCCCAATGGGGCCCGCCCCTGATCGCCCGCCCGGTTCTGTGGGCCCCCTCGGCCCATCCGGTCCCTTCTGATCCATCTCCGGTTCAGCCCACTTGGCCTGTCGGTCTGTCAGGCTAAGTTCGTCATTCTCGGGCCCATCCTCTAGATCCAACCACCCCAATCCGTTATGGACCTGCGTGTATTGGCCCATCAGCTCTGGTCCACTGTTCGGCGGAGGCCCATCTACATCATACCCGGCCATCTTGGCCTTTCCCTTCCGGGCTGCAATCTCTTGGGCCGTAGGCGTCGGTAGCAGACCCGGGCCCACGCCTAGCCCTACCTGCACTGGGCCTGTCCCCGCACCACCTCCGCCGGTTCCCGGCCCGTCCTCGGCCGTCGCCCGCCCGCCCGGCGCCGTCCCCGCCGTCTCGAGCCCCGGCGCCGCCACTCCTCCTTCGGCGGCCGTGCCGCCTCCACCTGCCGGGACCACCGCCGCCGAGCCCTCGCCGCCGGCTCCGCCTGCCCCGTCCCCCGCCGACGAGCCCGCGCCCCCAGTGGCGCCGCCGCCGCCCCCTCCTGCTCGCCCTAAGACCTCAGCCACCATCGCCTTCAGCTCCCCAATGGCGAGCCACACCCTCTGCGACTCCGCCTCCCGGGCTCGCGCGTCCGCCTCCCGAGCTCGCGCTTCCGCCTCCCGGGCTCGTTCGCCCTTTAGTCGGGACCGGCGCTCCTGCTCCATGGCCTCCGCCATTTTGGCCATCTCGGCGCGGAGCTCTTCTCCCAGCGTCTCGTCCACCATCTCCCCATCCCGCTGAACCGGGACCTCATGACCGTCCTCACCCGCCGTTGCCGCGGTCGTGGCTTGTCCTTGCGCCGCCGCCTTGGCGGCCTTCTCAGCTGCTTGCATCGATTTCGTCGACACCATCGCGTTCGTCGTTATTTGCTTGCTCCGGATCTCAAGAAAGAACCGGGCTCTGATACCAAATGATAGAACTCAAGTAGAGCTCTACCGGTGTTTTAGGGATTTGGGATCAATTAGGGATTGATCCCGGAGTTAGGAAGTGACAAGAGAATGGAGTTGGGGATTTGGAAAGAACAAGGGAAGGGAAAAGGGTGGCTGGCCGCCAGCAAAAGGGGAGGAAGGAAGGGGGAGAAGCTGCTGTTCGCAGCAGAGGGAAGAGAGGAAAGAGGTGGGGTCGGCAGAGGGAAGTGAGGGAGAGACAATTAGGCTTTTCTGATTAATCTCTTTCTTAACCCTAATTCTAACTTACAATAGTTTATATAGAAAATGACCAATTTCCTACTACTACCCAATCTATCAATTATTCCCGACTAGCCCTCATAATCCCAATAATAATAAACCGACAATTAATCAACTAAAATATAAGTTTCTATCACAGATTCACAGTATGGAGAATATGCTCCTATTGCTTCTTGGCTGAGGGACGATCACATTGCCTGTAATTTCTGCTTCATCTCCTCAGAAGGCCGATTCGTCTGTTAAACGAAGTGGGCTCAATGCGTTGAAAGAAGAATCTCTTGGTTTAATCAGGATATGATTTGGTGGGTTTAGACTTTCTGCGACAATGGTTGCTTCCCTTAGTCTTGAAGGTCACTGATGGATTACAGAATGGAAGTTCGGTGTTTCGACATTGGATGACATCGAGGGCGCACATCTACACTTGCAAGTTCATTATACCACCAGGTAATTTTGTTTGCTTATTAATTGTGTAACAGCATAGTGAGGTTTTCTCATTTCCTTGAAGATGCATGTCTGAACTTCTTGGACTGACTAACCCCATCCGTTAGATTGAAAAGAAAACTAATGTCCAAAACTAATTAATGAGAAACATCTCCTCCTTAACTAGTCATACACTTTTATCAGACTCCATTAATTTTCCAGATTCTCCTGCTACCAATCCAAATCCATTAACAAGAAAGAGAGAATAAGAAAACCCAAATCAAGAATTTAAGTGTCATTTAATTTTTGACAGCTTTAAAGCCTTTATAAAAGGAGAGAGTAAACAAACCAGTCATTGAACTTCACCACATAAACACAGCAAACTCTTGTTTCCTCACCTCACTGAACTTCACAAAAAGAAGAGAAAGAGATCATCAGAAAGCGATTCCAGAATGAAGAGCTCCACCATCTTCCTTCTCTTCGTAGCGACCTTCTTGGTCATAGCTGGTGAACTTCCCCATCCCCATTTTTTCTCTCTTTATCTCTGTTTCCTCTCGCTTTTGCGTCGAAATCTCAATAGTATTTCTTCGTATATATCGGTAGACAGTAGATACGCGCCCTTGATTTCATTTTTGAGTAAAAATTTTCGAAAAAATTGACTGTGCAGGAAATAAAGAAGTGATGGCAGCTGAAGGAGGCTACTGTAAGAAAGGAACTATCAAGCAGGACCCTAACCATGACTGCTTCGGTGATGAATGTAACTTTCAATGCAAAGAGAAATTTGGACAGAAGGTTGAAGGGCGTTGCGAGGATCAGTTGTTCTGCACATGCTTCCTGCCCTGTTGATTTTTATTGTCTTAGAACAACATAAACCAATGAATTTCTTTTAGAGTGATGCTGATATTGCAATGTGGTATCGTATGATTGATTGGCGTTAAATTAAGGGGGGGATTCTCAATCCCGTGTTTTAGAAATCGTCCCCCTACTGCTGCTGCTGTGTTCGGTCCGATCGAGATTAACACAGCCGTACCGGATTCCAAATCGATAGGCGATTTCAGAGGGCGTATGAAACAGTCGAACCACGCGGTTAAATTACGATTATAGTACGAAAATTCATTATCACCGACCTTATTTCGGTATGTTCTCCAATATGTAGAGCCAGATCATCAAATTATAAATCTTACTTGCCGACATGTGTTTTATATGATGATATCGCTCAGAGTTACAACCATTCATTGCCCTTTTTTTTTTGCAAATAAAATTGTCATTACAATGATTATTTACACGAATTTTCGAACTTCGTCTATATTTTCTCGTTCGGTACGATGTATTACAGTGTGAAACCAAATTCGTAACTAATTGTTCGCTAGGTACACGCATATTCTAGTTTTGGAAACAAACCGATATTATCTGTAATCTCCGTAATGCTGACGAGTCACGTCCTTCATATCGCGCCCCTAAAAAGATCATTAATCATCCAGATTCTCCTAACATCAAATTCGTCAACAAGAGGTCAGAAACAACATTGAAAACGACCCAAAATCCACAATTAGTCATCCTATCGACTCCCTAATTATTAATTAACCCTACCCCTCTTATTAATTATATAGGTAAATATATAGTAAGTCCTTCAATTCTCTCATTTTTTTCTCACTTGGTCGAACGTCGCCGCCGGCCAAAAGAAAAACCGACCGAAATGAAGAGCTCCACCATTTCCCTTCTCTTCTTACTTGCTGGAAACGAAGAGGTGATCATGGCGGCAGCGGCAGGAAGGTACTGCGATGAAGGAGTCGTCAATCTTCTGGAGTGCAGATCATGCTCCTTGCCTTGTTGATTTTTATTCGTCTTAATTGATTCCAACAAATATTTACCAATAATATATATCTCAAGTATAATGTGGTTTTGTCTCATTTTATTATTATTCATATAATTTTAACAACCATATTCCACTCGTATACTATCCGTCGTTGTACCATGATTATAAACCACTAAAATATTGTTTTACTAACTTGTTCAATACGATTTCTTATATACGAACCATGAGAAATACGGATGGTTTTCTATCGTACCTTGGGTAAAATCAAGGGTACGACATACCCTGAGTTAAAAAAATGATATCTAGACTTCAAATTGACTGTAGTTTGATATCTGGTACTATTCCCGAACCCGTAAAGATTGAAATCTATGTCTTAGTTTTATAAATATCATACACTAAGATCAATTTAATTAGAAACAAAAATTGACGGTCATGATTAACCGCAATATATGCCAAAAGTTACATGCAGAATCTTAGGGGTTAGGCTCTATGATTTAGATAACTAAGACCTAGGGTTCACTCATCAAGGGTCAGGGTATAGTATCATGCCAAAATTTCGGTTAATTCGAGGTATAAATAGCGTTTTCTTACTCAAAGTATGTCATACTCTCGATTTTACTCAAGGTACAATAGAAGCCACCGAGAAATACACATATATTAAAATGTAGTTTACGAGGATTTGGCTTTTCTTGGAAGGAAATATATGATTTCCCTTGGAGGAAATCCCATCAAAGATGTAAGCAAATACATTATCTTAATAAATTTGATTGATTGGATTCTCATACCAAAAATATCAAAGGCAAAATGGAAATATTTGTAATTGAAAATCAATCATCATCTTCCACCAAAAAAGAAAAGAAAATCAATCATCATCCTGGCTCCCTAATCCTAATCTAAAGGGGACGAGTTGGTCATGTTGGATTCAAACAAATAATCAAAAACGACTTCCTTATTTAACAACCGATACACTTATCCAAAAAATTCTAGATCTACTACCGACAGCAGCGGGATTGACAGTACATAAATGTAATTTCTTAAATCAAGAATCAATTGATCCCAATAACTCGCTTTGTTGGGAGAGATTCAATAATTGATCTTTATATCACTCACTAACACATCTCCTCAAACGAAAGTCAATCAACTTAAAGACTTTTTTTTTTTTACACATGTATGATTTACAAGAATACCATATACTTCGCAAACGGGGTCACGGAGATTCAAACACAAGACCTTTCACTCAAATACGACTATAATACCATGTCAATAAAATCTTGATCATCACCACGACACCACCTTCATAGAAAAAGAATAGGGCCAATAATTAAGGCATGACGATGATATATCATATATGTAGCATTCTCGAGCGCTTTAATTTCTTTACGTAAAACAGAATGGCGACGTGCATTGAAATGTGCATCCCAACAGCAGCTCCCATGAATCCTTTATTCGTGTGATTGTTTTGATATTTTTGCAGAAAAAAAGCAAGGCGCAGATGGTAACAGAGAAAAAGTCTCTAAAATAGAGAGAAAGAAGAGAGAACGACTGGGGATCAAAAGTATATTATTAATTAGTTACGTGTTGCAATTTTCCATATCTAGGACTAGGGATATATGTAAGGAATACGACCAATTGCTATTACAGTAATTCGAGTGGTTGGCGTAAGAGTTCTATTTGTGGTACTTAATCACTTTATTACGTGTATGAAATTCGATTTATACGATGGAAGTTTGCGCAGACCTTCGTATATCATATGCTTTAAAACAACGGTAATATTGAGGGTCGTAGGGACTCATGAACATGTGACGTTAATTAAGGACAAATCATCTACGTACAATAACATGTCTCAATGGTCATGGACGCGTCTCATAACAAGCACGGGTCAAGTCGAGTATAGCGGCGGCGGCAGAGCTCGCGCGCAGGGCGCGGTTCTTGATCGCCCTACGCCCGCCCGCGGTTCATCGAAGTCTATTATTTTTTTTCGTCCCTAACTATGAGGAAGGCACGCTGGAATCCGTTAGTCGATTAAACGTTTAACCGTCGGTCGGTTAGTAATAATCTAAATTTGACTACCAAATATCTGACCATTTACTATTTATTCGAATCACTGATTTCGATTCGATTATCGGTTACAACTTACACCCACAGTATCCAGCCTATTTATATGGTACAGGTTTCATTCTTGTTCCACCACACTCTTACTTCGAACTATATCTTATAATTAATGGACATGGAGTCGGATCCCGCAACCAAGCTCAGCACCGAAGCAAAGGCGGCCCAACGCAAGAGCAGAACGTTCATCCTGCTCTTGAACTGCTGCCTCCTCATCGTCGGCCAGGTCGCCGGCCCGATCCTCGGCCGGATGTACTTCCTCCACGGCGGCAAGAAGCTCTGGCTCTCCGCCTGGACCAACACCGCCGGCTTCCCCATCCTCATCATCCCCATCGCCATCTCCTACAAAGCCCACCAACGGCCCAATAAAGAAGCCCACCGCCGCCGTTTCCTCCCCAGCAACTGGCTGCTAGGGTCCAGCGTCCTGCTGGGCCTCCTCCTGGGCCTCACCGTCTACCTCTACGCCTTCGGCACGGCCTACCTCCCCGTCACCGTCATCTCCCTCGTCAGCTCGTCGCAGCTCGCCTTCACGGCCGTCTTCGCTTGGTTGATTGTGAAGCAGAGGTTCACGCACTACTCGATAAACGCCGTCGTTCTGATGACGTTCGGCGCCGTCGTTTTGGGGCTCCACATGGGGGAAGATGTGCCGAGGGGCGAGCCCGTGGGGATATACGTGCTGGGTTTCTTGATAACGATTGCTGCCGCTGTTTTCCATGGTCTGTTTTTGACGTTGGTTGAGTACACTCGGGCTCGAGCTGGGGTTCCATTAACGTTCGACGTCGTCATGCAGCTTCAGTTCGTGATGTCGATGGTCGCCACGATGTTCTCCACCGTGCCGATGATCATCACCGGGGGATTTCAGGTAATATATGGAATTTAGGGCTGAAACTGGGTTCTACCCGCCTCTGAACTAATGTTTTAGAAACGTACTTGATCGGAAATACTGGATATTGGACGCTAAACGCAGGTGATTTTAGTAGTACGTGACAGTTGACTCATGGTTCAAGTACGGTTTTAGTAAAAAAAAATAAAAAAATACCCTACAACTAACTGTTCCGGTATAACTTTCGGTCACAATCATTGGTAAGAACCCTGTTAGACCATCTCTATAGGGTTTTATAAAACTGGCCTAACTCGGCCTCTTGTTTCCTCCTTGACCCTAACTGACCTGCTCGGGTCGACTCAAATCAATCAACAAATTGATCTTTTTGAAAGTTACATTTTGGTACCTAAATTTATCTTTCTTACATTTTAGTTCCTAATTTTTTTTGTTTTTTTACAAATAGATCCTTAAATAAATTTTGGTGAAAAAATTACGCTTTAGTATATATTTATGTTTGTCCTTTGCATTATAGTAACCTGAATACTTAAAATCTTGCAAACATATCCAATATGGTTGGTACTTTATCATCTCTCCATTTCAAATCATTAATATAGCTTCGGATTACAGGGTCAAAAAGTTACTCAAACTCGATCCTAAACTAATCTTGTAGACAAATTAACCCAATCCGGTCCTCATGGTAGGATCGGGCCGGGTCAATGAGTTTCTAGGACAATATTGCTTAATTAGCTTACAACCCTAACTGTGTCAAGAACCAGTTGCTCCCAATAACTCGAGTTGTTGGGAGAAGGTTTTGTTGGATCTTATACCACTCTCTAACACGCCCCCTCAAACGAAAGCCAACCCATGGGCTTGAAGTTTGCACAGGCCCACCATACCATGTTACTCTGATACTGTCAAGAACCAGTTGCTCTCAATAACTCGAGTTGTTGGGAGAAGGTTCTGCTGGATCTTATACCACTATCTAACAAACTGTACGTAGATGCGTATAATTTCCAACCGATGACGGAGCACACTTTGATGGAGAATTTGGTAACCTCCAGAGATTTCGATTGATTTCCTCTGGCTTCTTCTTTTGCAGACTATGCCGGAAGAGGCGGCGGAGTTCGACCTCGGGGAGACCAAGTACTACCTGATCATCTTTCTGGCGGCCATAGCTCTCCAAGTGATGATCATCGGTGTTTTCGGAGTGGTGATGAGCTCGTCCTCCCTGTTCGGCGGGATCATGACCTCTCTCATGGTCCCCGTTCAGCAAGTCTTCGCCGTCATCTTCTTGCGGGAAGGGTTCAATGCGGAGAAAGGGATGGCGTTGGCGCTGTGCCTCTGGGGATTCGCGTCTCACCTGTACGGAGGTTACAAGACCTCCTCGGAGAAGAAGGACGTCGGCGGCGACGACGAGTCGTCGGTGGCCGCCACGAGAATGATCAGTTGAAGAGAAGGAAAAAGGTGGTTGGAGAGAGATTGGAATGGAAATGTGACAGTTGTTTGTGCTAGCTATCTAGTGTTACTTTTGCATGTCGCTGTGTTATAAAATATGTGGTATCTACTGCCTCGTTAGAAAGTCGGTCCAGACCACCTTCGTTAAAGCACATTTCAAAAGTGTTATGGAAAGAATTAAGGAAACAAATTTCTTTCATAAATAAAGTAAAGCAGCAAATTTTTCTCAACCAAAGCAAGTAATTAAAGCTCCACCATTTTCCTTGTTCTCCTTTTGGCTTTTCTGGTGTCATTGCATTGCTGCAGGTAATTAAACTTCCTATTCCTTATCTATGTCTCTTGTTTTTTTTCTTTAATTATCGTGTGACGGTTTCAGTCAGTGGGGTTTCAGTCTGAGTCTATAAAAAATTAAATTAAATTAAATATGAGAATTAAATTAAATAATTATTAAATATGAAAATATCTAACTAATAAAAGTTTTATTAAAAGATCAGTGTTTCATCAAATGATAAAATGCATTCGGTGTTTATACTGCTCAACAAATATCTCTCGACATATCTTACTAGACAAGGATATCCGTAATTGAGTTTAATCGTTAGGTTTTGAAAATAATTTGAGATAAGAATAACATTTTACTATTATATTTGGATCTAAAACACAATAACAAATGAGTTGTAGCGTAATTGAAAATATATGTCGCATCCCGATCTTTAAAACCCTTAAATAACAGTTTTGCTCCGGAGCATATTTAAAATTTTGAAAGAAAAGAAATAATAATGTGCTCGAAATACCAATACTGAAAATACATCTTATAATTTAAAAGCAAAGCCCTAACAGTTGGGCAAACCTCAATCCATAAAGTCTTATCCTTTTAAATCTCCAGTCATTACTCATAATCATAAAGCGAATAATTAAAGATTACAAATGCTGCTTACTCCGATCAGTGGTCAGACATCTTCAGAAGTGCTCACGTGGTCCTCCTCTGGTAGCCTGCTCTCTCACTGGATGCTCCTCGACTGGATGCTCCCTAGCTCCTCCTCTACGACCTGGTGAGTGGGTTGGGGTCAGTCTACGCCATTACTAAAACTTGAAGCACTTACGGGTATTCCCTTAAATGTTCACCTCAAAAACTTGTGGAAGTTGTTCATACTTCCACCCCTTTAAATTTTTAACCCTTAAAAACGTGGGAGTTGTTGTTACTCGCCACCCTCAAAATCTTAAATCTTTGACGACTCTGGGATCCCCTCACTAACTAGTCCAACCGCCCAGCTCATACGTATGAGGGCCACATAGGCCTTTCCTTAAACCTTTTTATGGGAGTAATCGATTCAACCCCATAAACCTTAAGAGTATATCATACTCTTCCTTTAAATTTCATGTGATGTCTAAGTGATTCATCCACATGTTCCTTAAGAGCAAACTTGCTCTTCCTTTAAACTTTCACTGGGGCGGGGGACTGGCGTTAGTGAACTACCTTTAAATCTTTTCACTCTAATTTAATTAGGAGTGAAATACCTCTTAAATGTTGATCTTTTGAAGATCAAACAACCTTCATTAAATAAACATAATATAAAAGCTTCAAGTAAATACTGAAAGCTCAAATAATCATATACTTCACAATCATAACTCAAATAGAGCATCTCAGATAATATCTCAAATAAAACATGCTTTATCAATCACGACATAAATCAATCACTGGCATACAATTCACATAAACACACATACGTAAAACTCGTAAGTCAAATACTTGAAAATACGTAAGGCGTAGAATTTACCCCCTTAAACCACTCACCTCTCAAATGACAATTCTTAGTTCCCTTGACGTGAAGTCCTTAATCCGATAGCTTCCTCAATCCTATAAACTGAAATCATCTTCCCTTAGTTGGTAATCCTCAGATTTAGTCTCTTTAACGTATTGGAAAAATTTCCCTCATTGATCACTTAGTCCCAAAATCCTTTAAAAATGGCCCTCAATCTCTTTTAAATCAATTCCGTAAAACTAAACTTTTCAACCCTTTAATCAAGAATTAAATCATCTCAATCAATTCAATAACTCTTAAAATAGTTCTCATAAAATCCTCATAAATTTCTCAAAATATATTTTCCACTTAAGACTCCAAATTCTGACCTTGTTTAACTCAAATCATTAATCCAATTAATAAACATAAGCCCCTCCTTTAAATAACCTCTTTTTCCTATTAGAATTAATCATATCTAATTTTTAAACCGAGTCACGAAAACTAATAATTCTTATTCATAATCTCATAACATCCATAAATAATCCTAGTTTCATGGAAAATTATCAAATCACCAAAACGGCTTCGTACAGTATTTTAATTAATTAAAACCAACATTGGTTCAATTTTTATAAATACAAATACAGATCCAAAAATTCTAAAATTTATACACGAGCATCATAAAAATATTATAAAATTATCATATTATGAAAGTACCCACGGAAACGTGTCGGAAATAAACATAACCATGAAAAATACGATTTTCGGGCCAAATTATCAAAACTTAAAACTCTGAGGGACTAAGCTGTATGTACTGAATACATGGGGTACTGATATGGACAATAGACCAGCAGTCTTAGAGACGACCAAAATTCCGTCACTAAAAGACTGTAAGTTTGGTCACTGATTCCCAAAAAATTCACAACTCGCATAATTAACTTAAACGTCGAAATTGATGGAGAGGTATCGGGTTCGCTTACCTCTTGGGCGTTCCTCTACCTAATTCCTAGTGAGTAGAACTTCTGTTTCTTCCTTAGATCATCCTTTGATCGTCTCGTACTTTCGTCGCCGAAACTACGGAAACAACCATGGTTGAAGGCCACCGACAATGCATTCGCACAGCTGCCAACCGTCTTATTAATTTTGCCAGCTTTGTCTTGGCATGGGCAGAGGTATGGGGGTTACACGTTAGCTCTCTGCTATTCTTGTTCCAAAGTGATTGAGAGTAGATCACAGATGGTAAATGATATAATTTGGTCTCTTGTGGGCTTTATATATAGGAACTGGGGCGAGAGAGATGGGATGGGTGGGGATTAATTGGGGTCATGATAAAGAGAGGGAGAGGTGGGGTGGTGTACAGATGGGGTGGGCAGACAAGGGTTTTCTTCCTTCTTTTTTTGTTTGTTTGTTATGTTTTACTAATAATAATAATAAGTTATTATTATTATTATTCCTAATTCGTAATTGTAACTATTCTTACGTAAATGTTTATTGAGTCGTTCACTTACTATAGTCGAACTCGAACCCAAATGTCGGGGTGTTACAATATATTAACTAATAGTGGCAGTGTCCCAAATTTAAATCACATAAACTACTACTTAAATATTAGGTTTAATTCACCTGCATAGCCATAACTTTCACGATTTTGACAAATATAGCCACATTTCAAAAAATACACAGATATAGCCATTCCGTCCAAAAGTTTAACGGCACTATCACGACTGCTGACTGGACAAATGATTGTTGGTGACGTCGTGATTTTTCATTGACGTGGTAATGCCAGGTGGAATATATTTTAAATTTCATTAATTAAAAAAAAACAAAAAGCTGCTTTACCCTTTCACCTACCTACCCGTACCCTCGTATCCTCTCCTTCCATCCCACCCCACACCCATCCATCTTCTTCCCCTTCTTCTTCTTCTTTCGCATCCTCTCCTTCCGTCCCACCCCACCCCCATCCATCTTCTTCTTGTGCTGCTGCTTCTCCGCCATTGAAAGGCAACCATTAAATAAAACTTCCTCACATAATTCCCAAACCTTAAAATCCTCATATCTCTAGCCCCAAAACTCAATCGGAAATCTGCAAACAGGAGACCAAGAGTAAAAAAGCTTCAGATTCCTAAATCCCTAACCAATATCCCAAATCCAATCGACGCTGATGAAACTTGGAAATTCGGCCACAACTCGTTCTCCATAAGTTTTTGCAGCCGAAATTGGAGATTTGGGCAAATTATGTTGTCTCTCTTCATCTCCTTTATCTTCTCCGATTACTAAGCCCCGCCGCCCTCTGCCGTAGACTTCCCACCAGCGATGATGATGCGGAGACGATTTTGGAGGCGCAACTGTACCTTCCCCGATGGCAATTAAAAAGGCCAGATATAAGTAGAGGATTTGAATGCTTGAGTTCCTCGATGTGCTGGCTCAACTTTCCTCCTAGGCAGGACGATTTCACACTGAGCAACAAACAATCTGCTTTTTCGTACTCAGCAACAATATGCAATCGGGCCTTGTTCTCCAACGACCAGATAGCGCCAGATCTATAGATTCAGAGGATGAAGAGAGTCTTCTCGTGGTTGGGACTATCTGTAGATTCAGAGGATGAAGAGAGTCTTTTGGTCGGGTCAGATTGGAATTGATTGGGAGGCGAGACGACCCAAGGTGAAGCGAGGCAGCAAAGTGGGATGAGTAATGGTGGTGGTCGAGCTTGGGGGATATCGGGTTTCCGAGGAAGACTCAAAGAAATTGATTTCACTGGAAGGAGGGACGAGGCAAGAAGGAAGTTGAGTCAAGAAGATGCTTCCCACTCTTTAAACTCGAATGTAAAAAGAAACCGATTAATAACAGAGAGTTCTCTGCACCATGTTGGATCAAAGATCATTTATCGGAGAAGTAAATCTGGGCATCCCACTCCATCAAAAAGAAGATGCTTCCCACTCCCTAATTTTTTATTTTTTTATTTTAAAATTTAAATATGACGTGGCGAGCAAGAGCTGATGTGGGGGCTGATGTGGCATCCACATCAGTATAATGCTTACGTTATTGACGGAATCACTAACGACGTTACTGTTTTTAAAGGAAATGACTAAATTTGTCATACTAGTTTTAGAAGTGTGGCTATATTTGTGTATTTTTCGAAAAGTGGCTATATTTGTCAAAATCGTGAAAGTTATGGCTATGTAGATGAATTAAACCTAAATATTATTTATACCAATACACAAACTACTACGGGAGATTGGATAATCATTTTCCCAAATTTTAAAGGTGTCCCACTACAACTTAAACATTTTTTTTCTCATACGCAAATTACTACCGTAGGTTGAATAATCGTGTTTCCAAATTTTAGGGGTGTCCCGGGACACCCCTAACCATGCATGTATCCGCCACTGGTTTCAGTCTCTGTTGACTGGTCTCGTACCGACGATACTACGTTAAAAAAAATAAATCTTGTGTTCTTTATTTTGATAGTGTGACGACGCAACATGAAACGACAAGGCGACGGCGGAAATATAAGAATCGTTTTTTGTTTTCAAATTATTGGGTTTGATTAGGTACAATAATTTTTTTGCTACCAAACTTATTTTGGTTGGAATATAAGTACAAATCATCATGCTTTCTTTTGGTCTCTTCAAATTCTATTTGGTTGTTGATACGATTATTTAATTTTAATAGGCAACCAATTTATCGACATCTTTTGTCTTCCAAAAATGTAATTTAATTTGCTGTAAATACTAATCTTTTCGCAACGACTTGTAATTTGGTTATGCAAAATTTTTTTGTTTCGAAATCTAGTAGGTGACTACTACCACAACTTTGAATCCACGACCTCCTAACCCGTAAGTACCCATGTGGTCTAGTGGCAATAATATTGCATGCGTTACATAAAAATAAAAAAAATAAATAAAAAAAAGGTGCACCGTGGCTACGTTTCCTCCTTCCAAAAACTCAGCAAGACAATTATTTTAGACAAATATCAAAAGAAGAAAAAAGATTTGAGCACGAGAAAAAGAGAGAAAATAATGGTTAAAATGATTTATGCAGGGGCGGAATCAGGATTTAAGTTTTGGGGGGCCGGAGTTGTTGTGTCATAATAGCAAATGTGAAAAAATTAATATGAGAAAATTAATATTTTTTGTTATTATAAAGGCATAATATATTATTAGATATAATTAAATCATTCTAATAAAAAGTTTATGTTGTGTTATTTTTAATAAATGATAAATGAGTAACCTAAAAAAACACCTAGTTTAGAAGCACAAAACAAATGCAAAAAACCTATTAATGAACACCATCAATAGGAAGCACAAAACAAATGCAAAAAACCTATTAATGAACATCATCAATAGGAATCGAACCTGGGTTTGGTTGGATAAGATGGGAACATTGCCCGTTGACCGTTGAGCTACCTTCAAATTTTGTGATATACTATTGCTCACGATGGTATTTGATATAAAACTGTACTTTATACGTAATTTTCCTAAACCGTAAAAAAATTTGTACGTAATTTCAAAATTCTCGGGGACCGGGCCCCCCAGGGCCCACATAGCTCCGCCCCTGAATTTATGAGTTATGACATTCGGAGAAGGTTGGCACTTGGCACAACAAAGTACACCACGCATTCAATTAGGGGTGGGCAACCGGTTCGGTAAACCCGAACCGAAACCGAATTAATGTTATTCGGTTCGGAATTCGGAAGGAAAATATGGATAGTTCGGAAACTAGGGTTATCTCAACCGAACCGAATTTCCGACCGAAAAACCGAAATACTATAATTGCAAGCTCCAAATGGTGGATTTTTATGTTTGTAGTTGTTTTTAGACTTAAATATTTGAAATGTTTTATGACTTATGTGTTGAAAAGTTTGATTTTATCATTGATGATGCATATAATTACATATTTATTGTTTATACTAGGGGTAAAAATAATTTAAAAGTGAGAAGATACAATTAGTTTAACAAATTCGGTTTTGTGCGAAAAACCGAACCGAACCAAATTATAATTCGGTTCGAATTCGGTTTGAGGTTTGGGAGAATTCGGGGACCCGGTATTCATAATTTTGGTTCGGTCGAAACCGAACCGACCGAATACCCACCTCTACATTCAATGACACAACGTGGTCATGTTCCTTCAAGACGAGTTGTGGGGTTGGGCTACCTGGTGTGAAGCAACCAATACCATTCAGAACTAGGGATGGCAATGGGTCGGGTTGGGGACGGATAGTGCATATCCTTTACCCTACCCAAAGTAGTTCGGGTTTTACCCATACCCACATGTGAAACGGGTAGAAAATTAAAACCATGCCCATACCCGTTCGGGTTTCGGGTATCCACGGTTATCCATGGGTAATGATATCTCTTCATAACTCCAACCAATATGTTAACATTCACACGTATTCTCAGATTAATTAAGAGGAAAAGTATGACAATAATTCACTAGAATGAAGAAAATTAATTAAAACAACACAATTTCATGAAAATATTATATTTATATGCTAATTATAAAATATATTAGAGAAATATAATGATTATTTATAGACAAAATACATATGTATGTGTATAATCGGGCGAGTTCGGGTTGGATAGTGAGAAACCCATGCCCATCCATTACCCGCAATATTCGGGTTCGGGTTTTACCCGTACCCACTAAATGTCCTTCGGGTTCGGGTTTTGCCCTACCCATTTAGGCCGGGTTCGGGCGAATATCCACGGTTACGGATATTTTTGCCATCCCTATTCAGAACCATAGACAGAGAAGACGACTGTTCAAAAGTTGGTCATTAATTCTAGCGGTTCCAGATCGTGATTAATTTGCACATTCACACCTTCGCGGATGATTGATTGATTTCATATGCTACTCTACATATCGTGTCGCGTGATCGATGATGGTAAAAAGTAAAAACATAACGACAGTTGTGTCGGAAAAGTGAGAGGTAGGATAATTTGTTGTAATATAGATTGTGATTTAATCATCGTGGTTTAATCGTTTCATTACTGTAAAAATCGTGTACTGTTTTGGAATCGCGGTGTCCGGTATTTCCGATCGTACCAGCCGATACAATAGGGTTTCTGTAATTCTAGTCGTAATTATTCATGGCCACTATACATGGGTTCTATAAATAATAAAGTTATCATTTTATTATTATTGTAAGTGATCAATACTATGTATCATAGCTTCCATTCACCACAGAATGAGACTCATAGAGTCCTTGACAGTCATACATGATGCACCGGTAAATTAAGTACCAAATAAGAAACGAACAGAACATGAAAATTCAAAGGTAAAGAGTGACCCCCCAAATGGCCAGATAATCCGCACACTTGTTTCATTAATTCCCGTTAAATGCGGGAAATCGACTCTTTCCAATCGAGAGCAAGAAGATCCACTTTCTCCCTACGTTGCGGAGAAGCTTTAGTACTGCACAAATAAAGAGATCGGTTCAAAGCAAACGCTGCAAGACAACATGTTGTGCGATGTCGAATCAAACCACTCGAGTCATTGAAATAACTACTAACCAGAAACTATCTATCAAAATTCAAAACACTATATACATGAGGCGCCATGTGGTAGTTGGCTGGGTGCTGCCATTCACCATTAATGCATGCATGGGTATAAAAATACTGCTCCTGCAAAAACCACATTCCACTACAAAAAAATCCAAAGGTAAAGAGTGACCCCCAAGTACCAGATAAGAAACGAACAGAACATGAAAATCCAAAGGTAAAGAGTGACCCCCCAAATGGCCAGGTAATCCGCACACTTATTTCATTAATTCCCGTTAAAGACGGGAAATCGACTTTTCCCAATCGAGAGCAAGAAGATCATCCTGAAACTTGTCGCTAACGCGGTTGCACGTTGATGATCCACCTTCTCCCTGTGTTGTAGTACTGCACAAAGGGATCGCGGTTCAAAACAAACACTGCAAGACTAACATGTTGTGCGATGTCGAATCAAACTACTCGAATCATTGAAATAACTACTAACCAGAAACTATCTATCGAAATTCAAAACTAGAGGTGGCAATTAGGATCCAAATCCATGAATCCAAACCAAATTATCCACCAAATTATCCACTTAATCCAATCTATTCAAAACACAGTATAAAAATCTAATGAAGGCGCCATGTGGTAGTTGGCTGGGTGCTGCCATTCACCATTAATGCATGGGTATATAAATATTGCTCCTGCAAAAACCACATTTCACTACCAAAAAAAGATAAGAAGAACGAAGAATCTATAGACGACGACGAGAAGGAGAGAAATAATTATGGGAGCTGTGGGAAAATCACCTGGGTACGAAAAGGACCACCAGAAGGGCTTTAATGACCAACAGCGACGCCGTCACGAAAAGTCGAAATGGAGCAAATGGGACAAAGTCGTCGCCGCGACCGTTTTAGTGACCCATTTGCTGGCCTTTTGCGGTCTGTTCTGCTTCAGCTGGAAAGGGTTTGGTGTTTTTCTTTTGATAGGCATCGTCACCAGCCTCTTCGGTGTCAATCTCAGTTACCACAGGCATCTCACCCACAAGAGCTTCAACCTCCCCAAGTGGCTCGAGTATTCGTTTGCTTATTGCGGCGTTCATGCACTTCAGGTACGTACGAATATCTCGTTCGAAGAAGTTCGATATTGAATCTTATATCATTTGTTTCGATGACTAAATAATAATGTGTTCTGGAATTCCTATTTTTTTTTTAATTTGAGTGGGTATGTTATGTACGTGCAGGGGGATCCATTGTCATGGGTTAGCAACCACAGGTTTCATCATCAGTTTGCTGACACCGAAAGAGATATACACAGCCCGATCGTGGGGTTTTGGCATAGTCATATGGGTTGGATGTTCGATTTGTCATCTATCAAAGAAAAGGTATATATTAATTGTTCGATGTAAATTGAAGAAAATGAATGAAAAGAGAAGGTAGTTAATGTTAATGGGCGATTTCATGTGCTCTTGATTTTCATTAGGGGTGGCGGTTCGGTTAATCGAACAAAAAACCATTAGAAATTAAAAAAAATTGAATTAGCCAATTGCTCAAAACCGAATCCGATAAGAGCTTACTAGGTTCTATTCGATTTATTAAAGTTTTTTCAGTTGTTAACAAAACTGTTAAAGGTTTATTGATTTTACTCATCAAAGAAAATCAATAGATCTATAAAATCGGTTCGCGGTTTTGGTTAAAACCAAAACCACCACCCTAAATTTGATAAATGTTGATGTGCTCTGACAGTGTGGGAAGCGAAACAATGTTGCTGATCTGGAAAAGCAAGTCTTCTACAGGTGGATTCGGAAGACCTACATTATACATCCTCTCAGTCTTGCTACTCTCTTATATTCACTTGGCGGATTCCCCTACATATGTTGGGGAATGGTGAGCATTATATATTCAATCATCAATATCAATATCGAATTTCTCTCAATAATTTGACTTCGCGACGTGCATTTTCTAAACTAAAAACATGAACGGGTTCAGGGTGCAAGGGTGGTGTGTGTCTATCATGCCACATTGTTAGTTAACTCAGCTGCACATACATGGGGAACTCGAGTTTGGAACACTGGCGACCTATCGAGGAACAACTGGTAATGATCGATTTAGTGTTTTTATCATATATATTAGAGTTTACTACGGTTTTCAACAACTTGTGACGGTACTGTAAGTGCTTTGTTGCTATGACTTGATGTCGGATTATCTGTCATCAACTGACAACACTCATCCAAACCCACAGTAGTAGATGTGTCTAGACACATCTGTTATTCTGTTTTGGGTCTGGTTTGTAACCTTTCCATGTTGGATTATTAGAGTTATTTCATATGGAGAAGGTGCTAAGTATATCTTCTCATATCTCTGTATTGTGAAAATGGTCTCTCATGTCCGTGGATCAACTAACGCACATCATGTTACCTAGTAAACCACGTAAATCTATGCATTTATCACTTTCTTGTATCGTCGATTTCCCATGGTAACATGTTGTGTGTCGATCAATCAGGTGGGTTGCAATTATGACATTCGGAGAAGGTTGGCATAACAATCACCATGCATTCAATAGCTCCGCAAGGCACGGGCTGGAATGGTGGCAGATCGACATGACATGGTACGTGGTGAAGTTCCTTGAAGCTGTCGGGTTGGCCTCTGATGTGAAGCTACCAACTCAAATCCAAAGACAGAAGATGGCTATCAAAAGTTTATCAGTAAATTAAATCTTTCCCGATTTGTTGACGACAGACAGCCTCTGTTGATGTCTGGAATTGTAGTTAACGCTTCTGCCCGTAGATTAGGTAACACATATTGTATTAGTGAATCAGGTAAATCTGTATGCTCTTTACTTTCTTATGCTGTTGAATTCCCATTTCGTTGCAACATCAGATTAATTACATGCATGTCATCCGGGCCTTAAAATAGCATGTAGTGTATTGAGGTTTTTATACATTGGTCTTCAATTAATATCGATGTTGATGCAAGCACTGGGTCTGAATGGTCTGTGCATACTTTAAACCTATCTACATAAATTGTCAAAGAGCCTTCGAGCATTCCATTTATTTTCCGGTGAGAAAACCTACATTGAAGAAAATTGATTGGACCTTTGACTTCTTTGGACAACGATTACTAATACACGGCTCACACCTCTTCAAAACAAAGTTCGAACGAGGGTGTTTGGTTGATGGTGAAAGGAAACTATAAATTTTAAGTTAAGTTACTCCTACTCCTATGGAGGTTCAGCGAGACCTCCAACTACAACTAAGGCTACATTGCTGAGAAAAGGATAGAGTTTGACATTGAGTGTCAAATGGTTGGTTGTGGAACCCCTTTCTCTGTCGACCCTTCCTCCTATTTATAGCCATGAGGAGATAATTGTCATAGAAAATCGCCTCTGAGATAACTCCCGAAAACAACCTCTCCATACTTTCTCGCAGTGATGGTTAATCCTTACTCCTTCAACCACCTAGGTGCCTCTCTTGGAACCGTCATGGGTCTTGGAGTGTAGCTTGTCTTGCCTAGTCTTGTTCCAAATCTCGTGTCATGCTAGTCTTTTGATAAGCAAGTGGTGTCTCACAAAAGGGGGTTGTGGTCCTCTTGCCTCGCGGTCATGGACTCCTTACTCATGTACATGGCCCTATTATCTCATGGTCAAGGACTTATTATATTTTGAGCCGCTTGGTCTTAGTTATGAGGCGGCATGGCCTCTTCATTTGCGGCATGGACTTCTCAATCATGTTTGTGACCCATCTCGTGACACGGCATGGCCTTCTCATACTTAGCATTTTTCAATCGTGCCTAGGGACTTTTGTCTCACACCCATGCCTCTTCTCGTGAAGCGGCATGACCTTCTCATACTTAGTATATTTCAATCGTGCGCCTAGGGCCTCTTGTCTCGCATCCATGGCCCTTCTCGTTGAGATGACATGTACTTCTAGATCCTAGACAGACATGGCTCTCCTCGTTGAAGCGGCATATCATTTCCAGAATTAGAATATTTTTTTGTCTCACATGACTCCTCTCGTGAAGCGGCACGTGCCTCTAGATTGTAGACGGACATGACCCTCCTCGTTGAAGCGACACATGTCTCTCCAGACTTAGTTTATTTTTATACAATCTCGTGGCATGACATGACCTTCTATGAGAGGCACATGGCACTCATTGAATCATGTACATGAATACTATGACTTATTGGCTTGGGCTTAAAATCAATATCCATAAGACCCAACTTAAATAACATTAATTGTTATAATTGATGTGACCTTATAAGTTCATTGATTACCTTGTAACTCATTAATATGGTACAATATAATTTTAGGTGTAAATACTAAGTACCATTCTTAGTGATGGCCTTGAAGACGGGTTTTTCGGTCAAACTAAAAAAAAAATCTTCGCTTTTGAAACCTTTGAGTGGATGTATAAGAAAATGATTATATAGTAATTATTTCTCGACTTTTGACATCTTCCCCCGAACATATAAGAAGATGGTTATATAGTAATTATTTCTTGGCTACTTTAATACTTTTATTAATTCAATAGATTACGATGTTATGGCAATTTTCCAACCACGATTAATTAATATATGATCCTAAACGCCTTTGGCGTCTGTCTTCCTACCTAAAAAATATCCAATCCCAAAAGAACTTATGACTAACTCCATCCGTTTTTTGAGAAACGTCTTCTCCTTTAATTCCACTCTTTGAAGTTTTAACTACTGCCCATCTTGTAATTAATCAAATTCTTTTATCAAAAGTTCGACTATTAATCGACTACCGTTCGTGTTGTTATTTGCTCTTTGACTTGTTGATCTGTTAAAACATAGAAAGTGAGAAACGCCCCCTCCTTAGTTAGTCATATACTTTTATGACTCCATTAATAATCCAGATTCTCCTTCACAAAACAAAACCAAACCAAATTCATAAACAAGAAAGAGAGAATCAGAAAAACCAAATCAAGAATTAAGTGTCATTTAATTTCGACAACTTAAGAGCCGAGGCATTTTAGTATGCTATATAGCATGTATACTTTACTATGTTTATAGCCATTGGATATTGTTAAATATTATGAGCCACAAGATCTTGTTAAATTAATTAGTTTTATTTATTTATTTGGTATTGGTTACCTGTGGTACCGGTTCACAAGTTTGATAGTAATAAAAAAATCAATTCGAAATTAGGGAAAGCTTCAGTTCAGTCGACTTCTCCGATTGAGCAGTTTCAGTCGACATCTTCGATTTTCCATTCTCTTCGATGACAGTGAAGGCGGTGAGCAGGGGGTGACGGCAAGCCGGATTCTGAAAGAGTTCGACGGCGAGTGCGACGCTGGGTAAAGGAAGAAGTAGGGTGTTGCATCTCTTCGTCGATTGTGATTCGCGGAAAAGGGGATTGAGCTCGTCGATTGCATAGACTGGGATTTTGTCGACGGCAACGGAGGCAATAGCCCCATTTCCACCTTCGAATTGTTTCTCCCTAGAAAGGTGGCTCTTATTCTTCAAAGCTCTTCTTCTCCAGTCCATCCAACCTTAGCCCAGTGCCCGCCATCATTAGCTTCAAGCTCACCCGCCTTGGCTTTACTGTGCTTGAAGGTTTTCACCGACGGCAACAGAGGCAATAGGCCCATTGCCAGTTTTATTGTCGGAGGAGCTCGATCGTTTGAGCCCCATTGTCAGTTACCGCAGCCCCCTTGCATCTCCGCCATTGGTTGCTGTCGTCGTTACAGGTCGACCTAGGGTTTGTATTCTGTTTTATTTGCTTTCCTACTTATTTGTTAGTCTCTGCGAAGTTTCTTCAGTTCGTCTGAGACCTTTTAACCTGCCCTGAATCTGCCGGCTTTTGATTGTAGTTCGCGAAATAAGCAGAGGGGGAAAAACCAAAGTAGAAAGAGATGTTCTTTCTGAGTCTGATAGAGCACAAACTGCGTTTTCCACCTGCTGATCTATCGCTTCCTCTCCATAAAGGCATCAAGAAATTTCTTGATGGTATCTTCTTGGATAGGGTATGCTTGTACCCTCATTTGTCTCTCTATGTCCATTTGCAAAGCAGCTCTTAGAATTCTGAACAAACCAATAATGGTTTTCTTCCTTCGTGATATGGCTTCTAAGGTTATCTTGAACTTGGGACGCTGTGTGTCCATCTATGACATTAGAAATATATATGGCGGCTTCATTCATGCCGGAGAAGGTGCTCCAACCTACACTGTGAGTTACATCGTACATCTTTTGTCAGTTTGGTTGCTTTTGTTGAAGTGAATCAATGAAGCTTGATTAGTGAATTGGTGTGATTTCTTTATTTCTGTTAACGCTGGTGGAAACGAACCAATGCATTTGGAGATAATGCTTCGCTATGATTCTTGCAGTTAGAATTTAGAATGGTGGTATTCCGGCCTTTTACATGAGAGATTATTGTTACCAAAATTATAGAATCTGATAAGGATGGTCTTCGATGTAAGTTCTGATTGTTGTCTGCTTTGACGACTCCTGCACTAGTGTTAATCTGGCTTTGCTGCGATTCGTGTGATACGCCTAACCCATATTTATCAAGAAAATTTGTCTGAAGAAAAGAACATGATTTAATGAATTTGATGTGAGATCTGCCAGTTCCTTTGGCATTTCACTAGGTTAATAGCAGTTTAGGTGCAAAGCCAATGGATAAATAAGGATTTCTTCTTAGAGAAGAACAAAGGAAGACTAATCTTAGAACAATTTTCCTCATATGCAAAGCGATTTGGGTAGTGAAATTGGGTGATCTCACAGTCATTATATAAAGAATAGGCTAGGATAGATTGCTGATTTATTTCATTCTCTAGCTGAGTATTGCAACCTTCATCTCTTCTCTTTTTGGCCCTTTCTTGTGTGTTTATGTTTACTTCCTATTACATTATAATAACAACCATTCTCTTCCTAATTAATTGACATAGAAAGCATGATTTACAGTATCGCGTGGATTCCTTGATGATATCTATGTGCCAGCTCATCAGCTTCCCCAACCATGCCATCAAATTCCAGATCCTGATCGCAGGTAAGATCACTCTTACTTGCTACCTGAGAGTACCCAAGGAATACACCCTTTGTTAATCATCGCAGATGAGATGAAACATGATTAGGAATGTTAAGTGGTCATTCCTTAATGAGTTGATTATTCATGTAATGCAATATGTATATAGTGATGCAATCCTTGTTTCTTCTCACTGCCCCTTTTACTCCACACCTCAATTTAGTCATGAAAATTGACTAAATTCTCTGTGTGGACTGCAGATTTAAAGTCAGATGGATATGGGAATACGACATCGAAGATACATGAAACCCAGAACAGTATAACATCGACGGCTTGGATTGCATTATTAGCACCACAAACTTACTAGGAAATCTATATGCAAGTTTACATTGTCTTTACCATACTGCTCCCCTCACTGTCCTGTTAGGTGGTTCCGAGTTCTGAATGTGAGCTTCCCACCACTTCCAATTGAGCATCGAGAGAAGCCTTTTGCTCTGATGCTTGTTACTGTAAGCCAGCCTACAAAGCCATGCTAACCAGATCTTGCTATATTTGATGTTCTTTATGGTGTTCTTCTTACAAGGTATGTCTTGATGTGGGTGACTTGTGTCTTGATGCCAGGGATCCATATCTGAATGTGGTTTGGGGCCGGTTTCATGGTGGTGATAGAAAAGGGTTCAGAACTTGAAGAAACTAAGGATTTTTTGCAATGACATTATCATAAAAGCACTGGGGAATTCAGCTTTGAGGGAGGACAATAGAAGTGTTAGAGAGTATAATGTTTTTGGGACTTTAGAGTATGGTCCAGAGTCGTTTGTATCTAGGTTGCCTTTGCAGGAAGATTGGATGGCCTAGCCTAATGTCATCGGAATGTTCCAAGTAGAAACTGCATAAAAAACTTAGAGAATGCTAGCTCTATTCCTACTTAAGTCATGACATGTTGTTACAATTTGTAAGCAATCTATGCTATGAAACAGCCACATTTTACGGGTATGAGATTTTCAACTCCAAGCCCGTGATAATGACTAGGATTTAGCGAGTAACATGTACAAAAAATTTACTTCAAGTTAATTTTAATATTTACGAATTTTATGTGATGGTCAATCTTTGTTTTCAAATTTTTTTTTGGATTACTACTAATCTAATACTATACAACTAGTTTAAGTTCATGGAGGCAAAATCTCATATTCTATATATTAAAGTGGCTTATTATGTGCCATATTCCTATGATTTTTGACATGTCATTGTCCAAAATACGATGTATCATCCATAAACACAAAGATTAACCATGTTTCTTCGACTTGTACCATTATTACTCCATGTTGTACCACAAGTCCGAATGTACAACCAGAACTTGTACCTATTAGGGGTGTGCATGAGTTGGGTTGTCCGGGTTTAGCCCTTTTAATCACCCGACCCATGCACTACGGTTTGGAAAATATTAAACCCATACCCAACCAAAAAAATTAAAACCCTACGATTAGTTTTTAAATGGGTTGGGTCGGGTTTGCGATATTGTTAAGTTAAAACCCAACCCAACGCAAAATATGTAATTATAGTACACATAAAATATTTTATAACTTGTACCTATACAATGGTACAACTTTAAGTTGTACCTACACTTTCTAACAAATCCCTCTTTGGTACAACTCAAAATTGTACATATACTAATGGTACAACTTTCAGTTGCACCTACACTTTCTAACGAATCCCTCTATGGTACAACTCAAAATTGTATCTATACTAATGGTACAACGTTAAGTTGTACCTACACTTTCTCAAAATTCTTCTATGGTACAACCTAAACTTGTACCTATACTATGGTACAATTTTAAGTTGTACCTACACTTTCTAACAAATCCCTTTATGGTACAACTGAAAATTGTACCTATACTAATGGTACAACCTTAAGTTGTACATACACTTTCTCAAAATCCTTCTGCGGTACAACCCAAACTTGTACCTATACTATGGTACAACTTTAAGTTGTACCTACACTTTCTAACAAATCCCTCTATGGTACAACTCAAAATTGTACCTATTCTTGTGGTACAACCTTATGTTGTAACTACACTTTCTAAAAATCCTGTTATGGTACAACCCAAACTTGTACCTATACGATGGTACAAATTTTAGTTGTACCTACACTTTCTAACAAATCCCTCTATGGTACAACTCAAAATTGTACCTATACTAGTGGTACAACCTTAAGTTGTACCTACACTTTCTCAAAATTCTTCTATGGTACAACCCAAACTTGTACCTATACTATGGTACAACTTTAAGTTGTACCTACACTTTCTAAAAATCCTTCTATGGTACAACCCAAACTTGTACCTATACCATTGTACAACTTTAAGTTGTACCTACACTTTCTAACAAATCCCTCTATGGTACAACGCAAAATTGTACCTATACTAATGGTACAACTTTAAGTTGTACCTACACTTTCTCAAAATCCTTCTATGGTACAACCCAAACTTGTACCTATACCATGGTACAACTTTATGTTGTACCTACACTTTCTAACAAATCCCTTTATGGTACAACTAAAAATTGTACCTATACTAATGGTACAACCTTAAGTTGTACCTACACTTTCTAACAAATCCTTTTATCGTACAACTAAAAATTGTACTTATACTAATGGTACAACCTTAAGTTGTACCTACACTTTTTCAAAATCCTTCTATGGTACAACCAAAACTTGTACCTATAATATGGTACAATTTTAAGTTGTACCTACACTTTCTAGTAAATCCCTTTATGGTACAACTCAAAATTGTACATATACTAATGGTACAACTTTAAGTTGTACCTACACTTTCTAATAAATCTCTTTATGGTACAACTAAAAATTGTACCTATACTAATGGTACAACTTTTAGTTGTACCTACACTTTTTCAAAATCCTTCTATGGTACAACCCAAACGTGTACCTATACCATGGTACAACTTTATGTTGTACCTACACTTTCTAAAAATCCTTCTATGGTACAACCCAAAATTGTACCTATACTAATGGTACAGCTTTAAGTTGTACCTACACTTTCTAACAAATCCCTTATGGTACAACTAAAAATTGTACCTATACTAATGGTACAACCTTAAGTTGTACCTACACTTTCTCAAAATTCTTTTATGGTACAACCCAAACTTGTACCTATAACATGGTACAATTTTAAGTTGTACCTACACTTTCTAATAAATCCCTTCATGGTACAACTCAAAATTGTACCTATACTAATGGTACAACTTTAAGTTGTACCTACACTTTGTGAAACAAATTCTTCAATGGTACAGCTGAAACTTGTACCTATACGATATGGTACAACTCTAATTTGTACCTACACTTGTATACATTGATTCATTATTTACAAGATTGCCATTAATGATGTGGGACCAGTCATTTAGTAGATTTACCTCCTCAACGGGTCACCTTTTCTATAGCATGGGTGCTATAGAGCACACTAGAAGGGCTCCTTAAGAGCCTTTATAAAAGGAGAGCAAACAAACCATAGTCATTGGATTCACCACATAACAGCAACCTCTCATTTTCTCACCTCACTAAACTTCACAAAAAGAAGAGAAAGAGATCCAGAATGAAGAAGTACTCCACCATTTTCCTTCTCTTCCTAGCGACCTTCTTGGTCATAGCTGGTGAACTTCATCTCCATCCCCATATTTTCTCTCTATCTTTGTTTCCTTTTTGCGTCGAACATCAATAGTATTTCTTCGTATATATTGTAGCGCGTATTTACGACACATCCCTGATTTCATTTTTTTTACTAACATGTAAAAAAAATTAAATTTTACGGTGTAGGAAATGACGAGGTGATGGTGGCAGCTAAAGGAGACTACTGTGAGAAAGGAATTATCAAGCTGTCCCCTAGCCATGACTGCATCGGTACAATGTGTAACTCTGCATGCCAAGCCAAATTTGGACAGAAGGCTCAAGGGCGTTGCGAATATTTGGCCTGCAAATGCTTCCTGCCCTGTTGATTTACTATTTTTTCTTTCCTTGTGCTAAGATTCGAACCTAGATTGTGGTTGGTTTATTGTCTTCAAAAATTACAGAACAATGAAATTAAACTTTTAAGAATAATGCTGCTTTCCGACTTGGAGATACTGCAATGTGGTCAAATGAGACTCAATCCCGTGTTTTAGAAATCGTACCCTACCATGTTCTCTTGGACCGGGAATAATGCAAGTACCATATCACAAACTAATAGGCGATTTCAAATGTATAAAAAATTGTTGAACTACGCGATTAAGTCACGATTTTAGTAAAAAAAATACATTGTCACTGATCTTATTTCGGTATATTCTCCGATATGATTTCACAATCACTGATCAATCAATTTCTAAATGTATTCAATGATTATTATACCATACCGTTCAATTGGGTCAACTGCAAGAATTGTCCACCGTCATCTAATCCGGCATGTTAGAGAAATGTTATGAAAATTCATGCATTAAAATGTCAATTTGATATAATATTGGTAAGTATTGGTGGTGTTATCGGTATGATTCTACCAGTTCAATATATTAGTTTATTTAATATCATTTTAGCAATCATATTCCACTCGTATACATACGTACTATCGATAGAACCAAGTTATAAACCACTATAATATCATTCCACTAGCTTGTTCGATACGATTTTCAGTATGAACCATGAAAAAATACCCATATGTAAAATGAAGTTTATGAGGATCTCGTTTTTCTTGGATGGAAAAACATGATTTTTTTCGATGAATCGAAATTTTTTTTTTGAAGCAAATAACCACATTTTTAGCAACATTCTAAACTATCGTAGGTGATGTAAATAATGATATCTCTCGAAACATATCAAACTGTCATGATTGATAAATACCGGCCATTTCGCGACAAATTTTAACTTGGTGGTAAATTTTTGAGGAGACATATAAGGAAACGATTATATAGTAATTATATCTAAGCTTTTGACATCTTATGTACAAGAAATTGGTCATATAGTAATTATTTTTTGGCTACTTAATACTTTCATTAATTACTTAGATTCTTCTGCAACAATTTGCCACAAAGAGACACAACTAATCAATTTGGCTTTGCATCATTGCATGTGGACTTCTTTGCACTAACTAATTATATGCAGAAACTTTATAGCTTCATTAATAATTCAGAATCCACCATAACAATTTCTCCACCAAGAAAGAAAGAGGGAATGGAAAGAGCCAAATCATGAATTAAATCTCATGTTGACTCCCTAATCCTTATAAAGGCAAGAGATCAGTTAATCAGCTGGTCATTGAAATCGAATTCGTGTTTTTATCATTTTTCTCACCTAATTAGTCCATCAACGATGAAGAGCTCCACCATCTTCCTTCTCTTTTTAGTGACTTTCTTGATCATTGCTGGTGAACTCTCCATCCTCATTTTTTTACCTCTTCTCTTTTAATTTTGGATTTTGGGTTGTAAATAATATATTTCTTAGGTTATACATTCGAAATTTTGCTTCTAATTAATTTTAATTTTTTAAATATTACGTATTTCATAGGCTAAAAATATTTTTCAATGATTGTGTATAGGAAATGAAGAGGTGAGAGCGGCTAGCAGAAATCAGGTTTGTAAGAAGCAACAACTCCCACCATATGAATTCAAGTGCTTTAAGGATGAAGACTGTGTCCCTGGTTGCAAAGATGAATATGGAGATAAAGCTGTTGGCAGATGCGACAGCCTTTTTTTCAGATGTTATTGCTATTTTTACTGTTAAATTAATTAACTGTAATATCCTCAACCAATCGTGTAGGAAAATAAAATTTTAGTTAAGGATGATCAATGTCAATTTATATATTGCCCTGCCTTAGTCCGGTGTTTGGAGTCTGTTACGAGATCGAGGAAATATGACAATTTTAGAAATTAGGTTTGCGTATCATTATTGTTGTTCCGTTGCTATTACGTGTATTATATAATGTGAGGATAATTCTAGTGATGGCAATGGGGTGGGGCGGGGCGGGTACCTCAATATCCATGCCCCACTCTATGCTAGTACAGGTCGGGGCGGGTAAAATCCGCGCGGGTGCGGGGCGGGGCAGGTCGACTTACTCTTGCATGTTATTTGAAAAAAATACACGCAAATTTTACTTTTTATGATAAAACGAAGGTGAAAAATACTTAATAAATGAAAATTAGTGATAATAGAATGGGTGTTTGAGTCTAAAAAGTTGAAAGATCGACTCTAACTAGCTGGAAAAAATTAAAATAGGAGAAATATGTAAAGACACTGATAAATTGAGATAGAATGGTCCAAGAACGGGACGGGGCAAAGCAAAGTAAAGCGGGCGGAAATTGATATTCATGCCTCGCCCCATGCTACTGCGGGTCGGGTAATACCCGCACCATCGCAGGTCAGATCGGATAATACTCGCGAGCGGGTTCAAATTGCCACCGGATTATTCGTTATAAACTTATAATTCATTATGTGTTCTAATCAAACTTGTGTTTAGTTGAGATAAAAGCCCAATATTAGGCCCAAACGGTTGAGTCCAGAACACAAAAAAGCGGCCCACAAAGGATATCCCAAAAGATGAGTTCGATCAATCCACCAACAGAAAAAGATGGCCAGAAGCCCAAAATTGTGGCGCCAAGCCGCCAACGACGTTTGAGTTGTAGCCGAAAATTTGGAGGCGGGAGATCAATCCCCTACGGACACATTTTCCCGCGGAGAAATCCCCTCTTCCCCTTTCCTTATCTGGACCTAATTTTCCCCTAATGCTCAGCTTCAAATCAGTCCCTCTCAATTGGAGTAAACAATTATCCTTTCAACCGCCGATTTTGAATCAGTCGGAACAATCTTCAATCGGCAAAGAAAACAACAATGCCTTCTCTCGCCGTTTCCCGATCCGCAGAAGAACCGCTGACGCCTCAGAAGCGGAGACTGAGATCCAACTCCACGGCGGCGCCGGAAACCCCGTTCTCTTCTCCGACGAAGCGGAAGTCTCCCCGCCGATGTCTCGACTCCACTCCCTCTTCTCATCCGAACTTCGTGAGTTTTCTTCTTCGCTCGGCTCCGAAAATGGAGTTTAGGCTTACGGTATCTGATCTGATTTTTTCCGCTGTGTAGTCAACAAGGAACGATTCGATTGAACCGATTTCGAACTCATCGAAATCTCCTGCCGAGGAATTGAGTGAAGATTTCTCTGAGATATTGAACTGGAATCCTAGAGGTGAGAGAGTGAGAGAGATATAGCTATTTGGGTTTATTCTTGATGACTTTCACTTTCATTCTTTTTGCAATTGAGCTGATTGTAAATTTTTTCAATTGGTTCGGTAGATGCATCGCAAGTGAGCGCAGTGAAGGAGGCGTTGCACGTATCGACAGCTCCTCCTACGATAGTTTGCCGGGAAGAGGAGCAGAGAAGAGTGTTTGATTTCTGCAGGGCTTGTGTCGAGAAGGAACAATCTGGGAGCTTGTATGTGTGCGGATGCCCTGGGACGGGGAAGAGTTTGTCAATGGAGAAAGTTTCGAATAAGCTGATCGAATGGGCAAGAGATGTAAGGATAGAATGCTGCCTCTTCCAATTGAAAATTTGAAAGCAAGTTAACTGTTTTATTCGACTTTGATCACGGTTAAGAGTTATTTCTCTTGCATAGGGTGGATTTGACCCTCCAGAAGTACTGTCGATTAATTGTACCGCGCTTACGAGCTCTTCTCAGATTTTCGGCAAGGTGATTTCTATTCAGGGTTTGCAGTATCTGCTGATGGTTGAAATGCAGTGAGTGTGCCAACTGTGCTAACTATTTGTGTTTGGCAGATAGTTGAAAATGGCTATGTGAAAGTGAAGGGAACCGCTGCCCCTTTGCAACATCTCCAAAACTTGTATTCTCAAAAGCAGCAGTCTTCAAGTTCAAAGATGCTGTAAGAACCATAGACCTTTGTCCCTTATACTGTATGATTGCAGAATAAACCTACTAAGAACTGTTTGTTGGCAAATCAAAGCATTGATTTGATCTTCTAGAGACAGTACTAACCAATGATGTTGCCATTGCAGCCTCATAATTGCTGATGAGTTGGATTATCTAATTACAAAAGACCGAGCTGTGCTTCATGATCTCTTCATGCTGACAACTCTACCTTTCTCTAGATGTATACTGATAGGTATGAATCTTAGAAATATTAACCCGAGCAGCTAATGATTGTTCATGCAGGAAGATTAAATTTTGCTATGTGTTCTGTCTTTTGCAGGAATAGCAAATGCCATAGATCTAGCAGATCGTTTTCTTCCGAAACTGCAGTCATTGAATTGTGAGTTCTTCACTCGCTGGGGGAAAAAAACCCTTCGAATTGTTATATTTTTTATATGTAGAGCAATGTCCAAAGATGTATTTGCTCGAGTGAAAAGTCTTTCATTGTGTTAATCTCTCCTGGCTTGGCTGACATTGTGAGAATAATTTGAATGTGGACTGGTGTTAGTTATGGGCTATGATTTCAGTATGTGCTGAATTGTTTGATCGCCATCTATGTTATAGGTAAACCCTTGGTGGTAACTTATCGAGCCTATTCGAAAGATCAAATAATCCGAATCCTTCAGGAGAGGCTCATGGTAACTCCCAACATGTCCTGTCTACATTTCGTTTAATGGTGAAATAGCAACTTGATATGATTTAAGAATATCTCATGCCGTCTTTTGATTGCAAGATGTGTTGTTGCTGTGTCCCAGGTACTACCCCATGTAGTTTTCCACCCACAAGCTTTGGAGCTGTGTGCCAGAGTAAGTACACATCTTTATCTAATGGGCTTTCCATATTCCTTTGTTATGAAACAAAATTTTCATAAGATTGATTTGCCAATTGATTCTTGTTTGCAGAAAGTTGCAGCTGCATCTGGTGACATGCGCAAAGCACTTTCTGTTTGCAGGTATGCAGTTTCTCTCCTTTTGTCTGGTTTTGCTTGTATTCTCAAGTTTTGCTACATGTTAAATTGGGCCGACGACAACACTTGCACAATGTTTTCCTTGACTAAACAGAGCATCCTTTGCCCTTGTTTTAGATCTGCAGTTGAGGTTCTGGAAGCAGAAGTAAGAGAATCTACAAATAACATGGACTCAGATACTCGAGAAAATTCAGTTGTAAGTCATTTTCTGCCCTGCATCACCCACTTCATTTCCAATTTAACCCACTATCCCTAACCCAACGTCAAGAAACAAGCCTCTGATTAAATTTTCAGTTCGCCTACGTTCTAATTCGTCCCTGAATGACTTGCTAAACCCACTGCAGGTGAAAATTGATCACATGGCAGCTGCTCTGTCAAAGGCATTCAGGACACCTGTAATCGACACCATTCAATCCCTTCCTCAGCATCAACAAGTGAGTCTATTATTTTTTTCTCTTTTCCTGGCTAAACCATAGGATCATCCAATCACAGTAGCATACTATGTGTCATTGACCTAAAACTCAACCGAAAATGCCAGATAATCCTATGCTCAGCAGTTAAATTCTTCCGCGGAGGAAAGAAGGATACCATAGTAGGAGAGGTGAGCTTCTTTTGTTACCATTCTACCAAGATGCATAGATATTGAACATCTCGATAGTCTTTTCAACGTTAGCTTTGTTCTGCTCGAATCGTTGATTTGCAGCTGAACAAATCTTATGTCGAGACTTGCAAATCAAGAATGATCCCACCGGTTGGAATTTCCGAGTTTCTGAGTATGTGCAGAGTGCTGAATGACCAGGCAAGTGACATATTAACATTAACACATCCATCATACAACACAACTTTCATTGCTAGCCTTCTCATCGAAACCAGTGACTAAAGGTGTACTCTTTATCACTACAGGGACTAGTGAAACTAGGACAGTCTCGAGGTGACGATAAACTGAAGAGGGTGACCTTAACAGTAGACGAAGCTGACATCAACTTCGCATTGCAGGTAATATACGGTCTTAACCATAACCAAAACCAAAGTATCGCCTCTGTTTCTGCCAGTGAATTATTTGCTAATTTGATGAATGCAAATCGCAATGCTGGTTTGGGTGTTGGCAGGGAGTTCGTTTCTTTAGGACCTGTCTGCAATAGAAGAGTGCCAATTCTACTTCACAAGTTGGGGAGAAGAGAACCAAATTCGCCTATGGAGTTTTCAAAATAGAAAAGCGGAAAAGCGGAAGAAAATGGAGGAAACCAACCACTAGCTACGAGCTCAATGGTTACCTTGCGCGTGCAGCTCAATCAAAAAGGCCACCCATGCCGACATCGTCATCCTCCGATTCATCTTCTGGTTCCGGCTTCTTCTCCTCCTTAGCTCCACCGGCGGCAACTCCTCCGCCGCTTGGTGCTGCCGGGGCCGCCATCGCAGCTGCAAACTTGCTTGGGTCCTGAAATCCATCACAAGATTCCAACATCATCCCCATTTGTTCAATAATTGGGGGGGATTCAGTTAATTAAAACTTGTTTATGAATGAAAATTCATTCTGCCAAATGAATAGAAGCAAAAATTGATGCGAATTAGCAAATGAATTCATTTACCTTCAAGTACTCCTTGACGTCCTCGGCCTGGGGGAAGCTGTACTGGGTGGCGACGGCGACGGAGAGCACGTTCCTGTAGGAAGCGGCGAACATGGCCGGCGCGGCGGCGAGGCTCGGGTACGAGACGGCCAGCGAGAGGGAAGTGAGGTTGGTGACGCCGGAAGCGAACTTGAGAGCGACGTCGTCTTCGGTGAGGTCGAGGACTTCGGGGCTGAAAACGGAGCCGTCATCGTAGACGGAGGTGACGATGAGGCCGTAGGAAAAAGGTCGGATGCCGAGCTTGGAGAGGAGCGCGGCTTCCGACGATCCCACCTTCTCGCCCTTCTTGATTAGCTCAACTGAGGTCGTTATCTCCACCGTGCCTTTGTTGATCTTGGTCGGGATGTTCAGCACCTATTACATTATTCATAGATCGTTATTTTTTTTTTAGATAAAGATGTTCCATTAGAAGATGCTAAGAATCTGTAATCTTCGGATTTAAGGTTAGTTAGTGATAATATTGCTAGACCAAGTTCTTATTCACATTTATAGATCGTCGTTATTTTTTTTACGTAGTCATTTGAATTTGCCTAGGGCTGGTAATCGGTCGGTATCCGGTATACCGGATACCGAATAGTCGGTATTCGGTATACCGGATAACATTGTGTACCCACCGAATACCGATACCGAATGTTATCCGGTATACCGAATACCGAATAGTCGGTATCCGGTATTAATACCGGTATACCGAATATCGGTTAATGCATTGAGTTATGTTTTCGAGCTCTCGAGAAGAGAAGAGGAAGACAGACACGGCACACTGGGAGTCGGGAACTGTTGCTGGCCTGCTGCCCCTGCCTGCTGAGTGCTGGGCGATGGCGAACACAGACGACGCTCGGCGCTGCTGCTGGCGAAGGGGAACACAGACGACGCGTGGACTGGTGGTGGAGCACGGCGTCGCGGCAAGCTGGCTGCCAGCGCTGGGTGCAGGGGCTCGCCGCCTTCCCGCTTCCGACCTTCGGCGCAGGATGCAGGGGCTCGCCGCTGGCCGCTGGGTTTCGACTGGGGCGGCTGGTTTCGAACGTCGACTGAGGAGGCTGGAGGCGGATGGAGTGGAGGCTGTCTTGGAGAGGAAAAGCGACAGACGAGGTGGAGGCTGGAGGGCGGGCCGCGGGGATCAGATGCAAAGCGGAATTAGGGTTCCCCTTCCCCAATTCCACTACAGCGCTGCGCTGCGTTTTCCTCTTCTTTTTTTTTTTGTAATTCGGTATTCGGTATACCGATTTACCGTCGGTATATAACCAATCGGTATTCGGTATACCGTTTGTCCGAAAATGGCAGCCGAATACCGATACCGCCGGTATTCGGTATACCGAATACCGATTGTAATCGGTTCGATACCCGGTAATACCGAATACCGGTTACCGAATACCAGCCCTAAATTTGCCTAATGATTTGAATACGGTATTTAGTTATTTGAATTTGACTGAACAATACGGTAAGATTTCTAAAACGTTTAGGTTAGGAAAACTGATAATGAACCTGAAAGAAGGAAGTCTGAGAGGGGTCTAGTCCAGTGTTGCCTGGAGGGACAGTGACGTCAATTGGAGCAATCAGACCCACGCGAGCAGGAGCTCCCACCTGTACGTTTCATCAAATTATAATCAATTTAATTACCACATGTAATAATTAATCTTAATTCGTTAAGTGCTTGATCAACTACAATGTACATAAATATAACCCAATTTAATTTACAGATCAATAATCATAACTAGATAAATTACCAGAGGAATAAGCAGCAACAACAACAACAACAAAAAAGGACGAGAAATGAAAGGCCTTATTAAAGTCACTTGCATATGCATGCACATTACTACTAGCTCCATGCACTTCCAGAACGACGCCGTTTACTAGTAGAATCCAAAGCGTGCAATTTATGATTTTCAGGTAAAAAAAGTGAAACTGTAGGAGTAAAAGAACGTTACCTTGTATTTGGCGATCTCCTCTTTAACCTCTTTGAGGTCACCCTTGGTGAAAATCAATCCCACGTTCCCCTGAAAAATACATAATCAAGATTTAGCAAACCAACTCTTTCAGTCTTTTGGCAGTTATCCATATATATCAAAATAATAATTTCATTCCGTTTAAAATTGAAGTGCCACATCATCATTTCATTAGTTAGTTAGTTTTGCCATATACCACGAGGAGAGGGACGAGCTTGGAGAAGCTGTCGTTTCCCGTGGCCTCGGCGTGGAGGCGGATGGATCGCTTCATCATGGTGTTCTTCCCCATCAGCACCACCGAGTCGCCGCGCAGCCCCTTTCGGATGTCCTGGAGCTGCTTCGACCCGACATTGTCGGCCTCCACGATCAGGATCTGCGAGTACTCGTCCAGCAGCCTGCACAGCTTCTTGTCGTACTGCACCTTCTTCTCCGTCTTCGTCACCTTGATCGCCATCCTTTCGTACGTGGTCTCTCTTCTCCTTCGAATTTGACGATCGATCGACCCTTCTGCTTCACTGGATCGAGATCAAAAAAAGACAGACGCAGTTTTGAACTTTTGAGTAAGAAGAAATGAGGGATTGGAGGTTGGTTTTGAGTTTTGAGTTTTGACGTAACTGCTCTGCGGTCATCGTGGCATTTTGCATGGCTGAAATTTAGAACGGACCTCGCGCGCGCTCTCTCTCTCTCTCTTTTGTAATTCTGGGCTTTTCGTTATGGTGGATTTAAGGCCCATAAAGCCCGGTCCAAAACAACAGAGGCCCAACTGGATCATACAATATAATGGCTAATATTTTCAGAGCAGCTTTTATTGGTCTTTCAGACAAAAATTCAAACACTCGGCGAGCCAGGAAGGAGGAAGAGGAGAAGAATGCAGCAGAATTCGGTTTCCATGTGCGAGCTCTCCCAGTTCCGCGCTTCCTCCCTTCTTCCCACCAAAACCTTCCCGGCAATGAGCACAACTTTAGCTGTTGCTCTCCCACAGCCTCTCGGGGTCCGGGAGGTCAACTTCAATGGACGACTCACTAGCGCCAGCTCCACTTCCTCGAGGTCTATTTCTCTGGCCGGCGGGAGCTCTCGCTTCGGTTCTCACAAATGCGCCGCCTCCACTTATCAACCGATTGGTAAAATTGCTTCTTTGCTATTGTTCCGCTTCCGTATTCTGTTTGGATGCTGGGGGGAAAATGAATGGGAAAAAGCAATAGGAGTGCGGATGAAATCAGTTCTACCTAGTTTGGTTTGAGAGGGAATAGTAGCATATTTGGAATTCCCGCCGCTGCTGATGTTAGCTAGTACTGTGATTGTAATGGTTTGATTGCGGGTGAATCAAAGGCAATAGCAATCGAATGATTGGTTGATTGATTGAGTGAGTGAGTGGGTGGGTGGGTGGGTGGGTGTCTTGTGATGAAATTGAGAGCTGAATTGATTTCTGTCATCAGTAGAAATCGACGTCTGTGAACTGAAATTATGTTGTTCGATGATGGAAGTCTAAGCATGTTATCTGATTCGATTTATGGGCACTTAATGTGCGTGGATATATGAGTACTCGGTGCAAAGATGGGCTGTAAAGGTGTGATTGTTTCTACGTGGTCGGTGGCTCCATCCTCCATTCGATTTGTGCTAGTCATAACCCGGGTGGTACTTGCTTGTTTTTCAGTTGACCAATCAGAAAAATTTCATGAAGCTGCGAAGAAAGGGAATCTAATTCCTTTACACCAATGCCTGCTATGTGATCATCTCACGCCAGTGCTTGCTTACAGATGCCTTGTAAGGGAAGATGAAAGAGACGCACCAAGCTTCTTGTTTGAGTCGGTTCAACCTGGTCTGGATGCTTCCACCGTTGTAAGTTGACTCGGTTTCCTTTTTTCTCTCCTTCTTTCTCCAACTGCGTGTTTTCTTCTAATCAGGAAAGTGTAGTTTCTGTTATGACGCGCCTCTTTTTTAATTTAGGGAAGGTATAGTATCATTGGGGCTCAACCAACCATAGAGATTGTGGCAAAAGATAACATGGTTACAACCATGTACCATCATGAGAACCGTAGGGAGGAGCAGATAGTGGAAGACCCAATGGATGTTCCTCGAAAAATAATGGAGGGATGGACGCCTCAACTTGTTGATGAGCTACCAGAATGCTTCTGTGGTCAGTCTTTTTTATTGCAATCTACACTGTTTCTATGATTGGCTTGTTGAAATGGCCCTACACATTCTTGATATTAGATGCTTATTGTTATGTCCATTCTTGGACACACATTTCTTGACTTGAAAATTGCATATGGATCAGGTGGTTGGGTTGGTTTCTTTTCTTATGACACTGTACGGTATGTTGAGAAGAAAAAGATGCCTTTCTCTGCTGCTCCGACTGATGACAGAAATCTCCCTGATATGCATCTCGGTCTTTATGATAATGTTATTGTCTTTGATCATGTCGATAAGGTGCGTAAATACAAGTCGCTTTATATGCTTCTTATTTTATCATCTCGAGACCTTAATTCGTTTGCTTCATTCCTGTGTGTTTTCTGGTTCCGATGTTTTTTTATTTCTCGTCCCCAGAAATCACACCTGATTCACTGGGTTCAGTTGGATCGGTATTCTTCCACTGAGGAGGCCTATAATGATGGTATTGATCGGTTGATGAACTTAATCTCTAGAGTTCATGATATAGCACCGTGAGTAATCTAGAGATGTTTTATATGTAGCAGTTTTGTCTATTTATCGCTGTATTAAGCAACCCTTTCTGCTTTTGCAGTCCAAGGCTATCTGCTGGTTCAATCATGTTGTCACCTAGTCTTTTTGGCCCTAAACTCGATGTCTCAAGCATGACAAATGAAGACTATAAGGAGGCAGTATTGGCAGCTAAAGAACATATACTAGCTGGTGATATTTTCCAGATTGTATTGAGTCAGCGCTTTGAGAGACGAACATATGCAGACCCATTTGAGATCTACAGATGTCTGAGAGTCGTCAATCCAAGCCCGTATATGACTTACCTACAAGTGTGACCTCTTTGAGCCTAGTCCTTATCGCTTGAACAGCAAGTTATTTATCATTACAATCTAATGTTTGAGTACATCCTTATCAGGCTAGAGGCTGTATACTGGTTGCTTCCAGCCCAGAAATTCTGACACGCGTCAAGAAGGTAACTCCAATTAGCGCTTGTTCAGGTGGACTTACGTTATTCTGTTCCGATTCTTCATGCCCAGCCTAATATTTGAATGAAGTATACAGAACAAAATCACGAATCGACCCCTTGCTGGGACTGTTAGAAGAGGAAAAACACCGGAGGAAGATCTAGTGTTGGAAAATGAGCTGTTGAACGATAAAAAGCAATGCGCAGAACACATTATGCTTGTTGACTTGGGAAGGAATGATGTGGGAAAGGTCGGTTCTTTTTTGCTTATCATATAAGTCTTGTCATTTCAAATGTAACAGTGTCATGCACTCATGTATACGTTGTGTAACGAGTAACAGAATAAACTCCCTCTGCTTTATTGTTTAATGGGGTATTTTTCATCAGCTGGCTTTTTCATGCAGGTCTCCAAACCGGGATCAGTGAAAGTTGAAAAGCTTATGAATATTGAGCGCTACTCCCATGTTATGCACATCAGCTCAACGGTACAAATCTCTGCTTCTCAATAATCTAGATATGCATAGGAGACTGTCTCGTTTCTGTCATTTTATGATTCTCTCTTGGATTTCTGGACCGACAGTCACTGTGAGTGGGAAGAAGGCAGCTCCATACATGGAGCATAACGGTCTCCTACGTGGAGCAAACATTGTGTGACAGGTCAAACGGAAGTATTGTATTAATGTAATGACTCAGATTTCATTTGCTGACAGGTCACAGGAGAGATACTCGACGACTTAACCAGCTGGGACGTCTTGCGTGCTGCACTTCCCGTCGGCACAGTTAGTGGAGCTCCTAAGGTCTGTCTCACCGGACTTCCTCTACTGAAACGCTTTCATTCCATAATTTGATGAACTCATTCCAGCCTTACATTACTATAATGCATCATACTAATGCAATTCTCAACATTCGTATCACATATTCGGGGTATCTGTCGAAAACTGCAGGTGAAAGCAATGGAGCTGATCGACGAGCTAGAAGTAACTCGGCGTGGGCCATACAGCGGCGGCTTCGGCGGCATTTCATTCAACGGGGATATGGACATTGCCCTTGCTCTGAGAACCATCGTCTTTCCCACGAGCACCAGGTACGACACGATGTACTCGTACGCCGATGTCAGCAAACGACGAGAGTGGGTTGCTCACATCCAGGCTGGAGCCGGGATTGTGGCAGATAGTAACCCCGACGATGAGCAGAGAGAGTGCGAGAACAAGGCTGCTGGTCTGGCTCGCGCCATCGATCTCGCTGAATCATCGTTTGTGAACAAGTAACCTTTGATCCCTTGGTTTTGTCTTCAGCAATCAGCAGTAATGCTCTTGTGCTAGTAAAACCTTTGCTTTAGCTTCTGCAATGCCTTTTTATTTAAAGGTAGAACCGTAGAAGTAGGATTATTTTCAATTGCAATTCGAATGGAGGGAAATGGTGTTGACTGTTGAGCAATTGTAATTGGGCTTGGTCCAAGGATAGTGGACTACTGATCCAAGTCCATCTATTGACTTTGCCCGGCCCATGAAGCTATTTTGCAGTGGGCCTAGGCTCCTAGCTAATTGATCGAGTATGACCTAGATTAGGTAGTTGCTGAGATGTTAGTTAGGTTAGTTATGTTCCGAGTCGAACAAGTGGGACTGAGAAAAGGAGAATGGAACCAAAGAATCGTAACTTCTTTAGTGTTACCCTGAATAATCTACTTTTCATTCAAGTGGGGAATCGTCTTTGGTTGGACGAGCTCATCAATACCCACTAGTCTGCTACTACTAGGGTTGCCGTACTGGATCAAACCGACGCTTGTACCGAATCATATAGAACCATATATAATGTGGTGTGGTTCTTGGTCCCATTCATTTTATAAATATTGAAGAAAAATATGTTGAATTGACATTTGGATCGAACCAAACCTGATCCAACCTGAATGCAATGCCGGTGTGCTATTTGGTCCTAAGATGTCTTTCACTGTTGCACCGCAATTCTCATGAGTTTTGGTCTAGTAGGGATTATGTCGTTGCACACCCCTAACCCCATTTATGACCAAGGGGTGGCCAAGTCTTTGTACTGAACCAAATTAACAAGTGCATAGGATCTTATCTTTTTGCTTCTTTTGTTCTTGATGAGCCGAAACCTAATCGCGTATCTCCGTCGCTTGTTCTTGATCGAACCCATTAAATTCGGAATCAAAATCGTCTTCAATTTCAAGAGCCGAAACCTAATCGAAATTGATCATATGCATTGACCAAATCTTTTGCCCACATATCTACTTCCTAGAAACAAGACCCAAAAATATCTTAGCTATCACAGAGGCTAGTACTAGAACAGCCAAAGAACACGTTGGTTATATTAGGTGAGCCAAGTTTTTTTGGTACATTAGGTGCTTGTCTGCCTCCTCCATTTGTGCTCCGCCACTTTCCTTTGAACAGCCCCAACAAAAAGACACTGCTTTAACGAAGACAAGTTTGGCCAGAAGTGCCCATAAAAACACTGTTCCCAGACCTCAACATATATTTACTTTTGACCTTCAGAAGTCTGCTGAAAGATCATCCATGGCCTTATTGCACATGAGGAAGCAGGTGAATCTAGGCCAAGATCAGAGGCCCTAAAATCGGAATGCCATGAAGGCCAGAGTTGGGTGTTTATTATAGGAAGTAAGAGTGAGTGTTGCTTGCCAATGTGAATCAATCGAACACTAGTCGTTGAATCGACAATAGCTGACATTTCGTATCACGCCTAACTGGAAGAATAAACAAACGAGTTGCTCAAGTGGTAACTAAATTCATTTTCATGATAAATACCGAAATTTTGAAGGTAAATTAAGGTCGAGCCAACCAAATCACTTTATCACACCTTTTTCGTTGTCAGAAGTGTTCAATGTGACACCATTTTATCTCAAATGATTCATATTCATGCTTATAATAATGGATGTGTTCACCTCTTCGCCATATAATAAGAATGATAACACACACGTAAGGGTGTACTAGTCTTCCTAAAAAATTATTATGTTCCGTTTTGATTTTTTTTCCTCCCCTGCTTAAAGTTCGCTCTTAATATAAAACTAAATAATATAACGTACATGAATTTTTTGTGTGTGTGTGATATAACGTACATGAATTAAATACACATCACATATATAACTTTGAAACCACGATACTTAATTCGCCTTTTTCCTTATTAAATGAAACGCAACAACTTAGATTTATCATGATGATAGCTAAGTTTGCGTCCCTCCTTGCACATACCCTAATTCCATACACGTCCTAACTACCTCAAATCTTTTAAACTTTACGTTTTTTACCCAATGTTCATCACGAGCCTCATGACATTTTGGTTCAAAAGATTGCTTTACCTAATCCTACTCAAAGAAACGTGGTTCCTCATCATAAAAAAGAACCCTTTCCCATAAAAGAAAGGAGTTGAGGGATCAAAACGTCATCAAATACTCATTCCAGAACTGATTCGTGTTCATCTAGACAAAGAGGGAGCAATTGCACAAACGGTCCACAAACTTCGGTTCATTAACAAATTGGCCACTCACCTTTGCTAGGGACAATGAATTCACCATTGCACTTCGTAACAACAACAAAATAAAACAATCACTTCCTATATTTCATCGAATCTCTGTCATAATAAACGCGTCAATTGTTCCAGTTTAAATCAATCAGACACTTCTTCAAACAAAACCTAGACAGGCAACACAAAGCAGTTCTAAAGCACATACAACACAAACTCCATCCTAATCTCTACCTCACCATCCTAATCTCCATCTTTTGAATAACTAGACTATGCTCTCAACCCATTTTCACTATTTTTTTTTATTATTTACCAGGTATTTTCCTTCTGATCCTAATACGCGAGACACGTATGAAGTTCAAGGCAATCGTGATGCTCTCCATTATCGATTCTGATTGACGATAAACCGAATCATTATATCGTCAGTTGTTCCAAACTTTAATAGTGAACTCGACGAATTCCGAAAAAAGTTTTGTGGCCGAGTTTAGACAGACCCCAAAAGTTGAGTGGCGGTTTTGAGTAATTGACCCCGAAAGAGAAGAGAGAACACATGAAAGAAAGAAAGGAAAGGAGTGGAAATGAAAAATCCGACGTAAAAGTAGAGCTACCTACCAAATCCAGCCCCCTCCTATCTGCAACCACTTGTCTTTCTCACCAACTTGGTCAAAATCCCTTCTCCTTCCCTCTCTCTCTCACCACAGATTTCATTTCAATTCAATTTTCACCCCATTTTCTTCTCTCTTCTCCACTTCCCATCCTCTCTTCTTCTTCTACCTTCCCTCCCTCTCTCTGCTCTATAATTAATACTCCATTCTCAATCCTCTCTTATTGGCAACACCCACCTTCCCTCTTCTTCATCTTCTCTACAATAAATTCGCTCTCCCCTGTTTTTCCTCTCTCTCAGACTTTTCGTCGAACAGTTAACAGACAAACGAGTCAGGTACTTGTGTAAACCTGCTGTTGACGTCTCTCTCCACGAACCCAATTTCAAACAAGAGAAGAGGAACAGAACCCATTTCTCCGATTTGAAAAAGAGAAAGGAACACACCATGGGAAGGTCTCCTTGTTGCGAGAAGGCTCACACCAACAAAGGCGCCTGGACGAAAGAAGAAGACCAGCGCCTCGTTGATTACATCCGCACTCATGGCGAAGGCTGCTGGCGCTCCCTCCCCAAATCTGCCGGTTAGTGTTTTTTTCTTTTTGGGTTCTTCCCCAAACTAAGAAAGGAACGATAAAGCGAATCCTTTTCCCCTGTTTTGGCAAGTTGTTTGAATTGGTTTTCCTCTATGGATTTTGTTATCTGCAGGGTTGCTCCGTTGTGGGAAGAGTTGCAGACTGAGGTGGATTAATTACCTTAGGCCTGATCTCAAAAGAGGGAATTTCTCTGAAGAAGAAGATGAACTCATCATTAAGCTTCACAGCCTTCTTGGAAACAAGTAATTACCTTTGCCTCAAACTCAAATCCCCCCTTTCCCGGTTCCTCTGTTTTTTCAATTCCCCTGTTTTTTCGTTTTTGGGCTAAATTTCGTTTCTTTTTTTGTCCTCTGCAGATGGTCGTTGATTGCCGGAAGACTGCCGGGAAGAACAGATAACGAGATCAAGAACTACTGGAACACTCACATCAAGCGAAAGCTCATGAGCCGCGGGATCGACCCGCAGACTCACCGTTCCCTCAACGAGAAACCAGCCTCCGCCGCCGTTCCCGCAACCACCACCACCGTCACCGCCGCTGCTGTTACTGCTCCGACGAAGCCTACCCAGTTGGATTTCAAATCGGCGCCGGCTCAAGCTCAATCCACGGCGGAAATAAACCGTCTCCTCCAATCCAACACGATGAAGGCTAGCAGTATCCTGGATTTCAAATTCCAAACGGTGGTAAAAGCAGAGTCCGTCGAGGAAAACAACTGCTCCAGCAGTGGGATGACCACCGACGAAGAACAGCCGTTTCAAAGGCCTGCCGTCGCCGCCGGAGGCGGCGAGCGGCGGGAGGAATTGAATTTGGATCTTACAATCGGACTTGCTACTCCATCTTCTTGTTCTCGAACGACGACCCGGCCGAGTTCGGCTTCCTCCGGGAACTCTGCCGAGTCGAAGCTTCAATTCCACCCAAAATTTCAATTTTCCGGCACGGCAGCTACGGCGCCGACGACGGCGGAGGCCGTCTGCTTGTGTTGGCAGTTGGGCGGCGGAGCTCGTGGGAATTGCCACTGCCAACATTCTTCCGGTGGGCGGCAACAGCAGCAGATTAGATATCAGTATTGCTAATAATAATTTCCAGTTTCATCCCTTAATTTCTGTTTCTTTTCCATTTTGGGACAGATTTGTGTTTACTATTTAGGTTCCTTTTTTTGTTCTTTTAACCTTTTTGGGTAAAGCTGAATCTAAGGAGATGGGGGAAGGGGTAAAAAAAGCTTTTCACTGGCCAATTGTATTTTGCCCAAAAATGGGTAGTAGTAGTAGTACCGTAGCAGAAGTAGTTTTAGAACTTGGGTTTGAAAATATAAATACAAAATTACTATCCAACATTATTAAATGCCTTCTTCTTCTACTATGTTCTTTCATATCAATTCTCAAAGTTTGTCCATTGGTCTTGTCTCTCACCTTCTGGTTTTCCTGTGCATTAGTTTGGTTGTCCGATTATGGTACTCACAGTTTAGCTATGAAAATCTGTTACCAGGACACATGATCGTTGAATAGTGTGTTCGACACTTCACAGTGGATAAATACAGTAATAATTTTGAGAAAAAATGTCACCACGTCCATCCAACGGTCACGAAACATCAAATGTTTGATTCAACAATTGTGCATAATGTGAGCACATTATCACGAATAGGCTATGAGCATCTTAGCCGAGTTGTACTCACCCAGCACGCTTCTAGGCTAATGGTATTATTGTTGTTGTAGCTTTGCAACTCATAACATCTAAAAGTGAAAACATGAACACATGAGTTCTACTCAATTAGACGTCAACAACAAACTGGTGATAACGTTGTAACATGAATGTGTTGGATTCAAATCGAATTACTCTTCAATTGTTTTCCTGTCATTTTTGGTGTTTAGTTATAAGTACTACCAAAAACAAAAATCAACATTACCAACCTAAACCCATGTTTTAGTTTGAAAATCAACCTAACATCCAACTATATATGTTTTCAAAGAACAAAGATCACTTAGCTTAGCTGTAAAGCTGAAACTTGACAAATTGACATAGTGGGGAAAATGGAACATAGTACTTGAATAAATTCCCAGTGTTTTAGGGATATACCATGAGACCAATTTCATGTGGGTGGATGAGGTTCTTCCTTATAGCATGTGATCGTGTTTTAGGGTCATATGGTCTGTTAATTATATACTGTTTTTTATCATAAAAAGTGTAAAAGCATCTTGTACCTAATTAGTAACTATTAGGATTAGTGTGGCATTAATCTACTTTCTCATTTGAATGAGTTTCATATATGTAACCTTTCCTCTTTTTTTTTTTTTTTTTTTTGCATGTACTGAGTTTTCATTTCTAGAAGTAAAACTTCATGTTATTTGGAATATTTAGTGAAAACTATAATTTGTATGCATAGTTAAGCTATTGAACTTGCGATGAAAGTTCCTAACCTATATGATCATCATATTATGTGCGCATGTGGAGCTAAAATTGTACCACATACTTTAAGCTCGGTTATTTAAGCATTATGGAATAGAATTCTCTATAGGTAGGGTGCTAAACCTGCGTGGATGTTGTAATACATTTGACAGATCTCATATCGATAAAGTACGAGAAAGATATATGGTCATAAGGAACAATCTAATCTTAACTGACAAAATGTACTTTGGGGGTGAAATGAATGAGTTTTTGTAAGAACTCTGAAGTTAAATATGCTCATAGTGAAGTAGTGTAGAGATGGATGACCTCTTGCCTCTTGAGAAGCCACCATGATGCATCCCAAAAGCAAAAACTGTGTGAAAATGCGCTCAAAACATAATATTGATAAAAAAGGAGTTGGGATGTTACAAATGCTTTTGTCAACATAAAATCGAAACGGTTAAAAGTATGCTTATTCGTCTCAAGTATAAACTGGTTAGTAGCAAGTGAGTTGTTAAAAAAGACATGTGACATATACCCGCACAATAAGAAGATAAAAACCCCACGAATTACTTCAATTTTGTTTATTTAACAATTTTGTTGTACTTATTGATTTATTTGACATTTATAAATGATACTAAAGATTCAATTATGACGACATATAATAAGGATGTATCAATCGACGATTTTCCTGTTAAATGAACCGGTTAAATTGACCCTAGTCAATAGGTCAAGTATAGATTAATCTCCAATGTGAGAATTGACTTCTATCTTAGTCTATAATGTCAACTAAACTCTATGGCCACTTATAACAAATATATGGATAAACTAATCATACAAGGATTCAGCACCTCTTGTCTCTTGGACTTCGAGGTGCGTTTGTCTTTAAGGTAATTGTTTGGTTGAGAAACAAGCCGTGTACCTTTAGTTAGCAACTAATTAACAAAAGGTAATTAATGAACACTCCCCACTTAGGACAATATTTCTTTTTACCAGTAAGTAGAACTTAATGCCAAACACGTCCGACAAAAGTAACATGACAAACAAATAGGCAGAACCTAATAATAACTAAAATTGGAACAACTATCTACCTTCCTAACTTTTGAACTAAATTTTGCATTTTCAACTAACTAACATTGGAACCCAAATTCATACCAATCTTGTAAGGCATGAAGATGGCCTCCCTCCCTCCCTTTTCAACTAACTCAACATATGCATAATTTTCATACTTTAACCTACCTCATGGTGATCACCTAAGCACCACCAATTACACTTCTTTTTAGGGTAAATTACATGTATACAATGAAATTTTCTATGGTTTACCTCTAAACATATTATATGTATATTTATGTATACCATACCACTTCCTATTTTGGGTTGGATAAGTTGGTGGTACATGTGACTTAGATTAAATGCTTTGTATGTTTGTTCGTTGGGTTTTCACAAGACACAGCATGATGAAAAGACAGTTTTCAATCTCATGTGGATATCGTTGATTTAGTGTGTTTATACTTTTAAACAATGTATGTAGTTGGCTTCCAAAATCATTTCAATCCCCAAGTTCATATGAGTTCTTTTTTTCAAAAGCATAAACAGAACAATAATTTCATCCAGAACAAAAAAAACCCTCATAAAGTTATAATGGATTAGTAATATTCCTAGTGAAGGTTAATATAGATTTAATTTGGCCTCTCCTTACTTACTACTAATCACAAATGCGGAGTATAAGTGACTGATGGGATGGTTGGACTCTCTAACATGCTCCGTCGTTATTGCAACCGAATCTTGGGCGCTCTCTCAATAATCTTATCTCATAATTGCCTCCCTTCCTCACCATCCCTCGTCACGACAACCAACTACACTATATTTGGATGTTTTGAGTTCACTCTTCTCGTTCTGATAATAGTTTTTAACCAAATCGCCACGTTTATTAGTGTGTCCGGTTTCTATTTGTTCATATGTGACTTTCACCTCGTTATATTTTCTAGGGTAAATACAATATATTAGCCATACCTATTAAGCAACGGGGAATTATAGCCATAACTATCGAAATACAAATTATTAGCCATAACTATTGTTGCGGGTCAAGATTTGGCTAACAGGTCGTTACTGTTTTCAAATTTTTAACGGAGAAGGCCATGTCATCATCGTAAAAAATATGATATGATGATTGCCACGTGGGAGCCAACTCAGCATCGTAAAAGTTTAGTCATCATTACTAATAGAAGTGTTACGAAAACTTAACGATTGGCTAATAATTTGTATTTCGATAATTGTGGCTATAATTCCTCGCTGCTTAATAGTTATGGCTAATATATTGTATTAACCCTATTTTCTAGTCCAAACTTGAACCCACTAGAAAGTCAAATAATTTTATAATTACTCACAAAAATGGAGTGTTTTTTGGTAGACACTCCATGGCCAAGTAAAAGATTTGTTTGGTTTTTCCCATGTGGGGGCACAGGCAGCTAGCTGAAAAAAATAATAAGTAGTTGGTTTGGTGGTGGTTTGGCAAGTGCAAGGCTTCTAGAACCTTAACTAGGGTGGGCAGTTGTAGTGGGCCCTCTCCTTGAAACAAGCCCAATGTGGTAGGCATACCAACCATTATCTAGTTCGTAAATAGATTCAATTTTTTTTATATAAAAATTAAAAAAAAGATTCAAATTATTATTCAATTAAATTGGGGGAAAAAAGGGGAAAGAAAGAAGGTGAAGGCACGTGAATGGAAGGTGATAAGAAGGCCCACAAACACAAACTAAGGGCCAAAATCGACCGATCCACCATCTCATCCAAAAACCCTATTTTTTTTCCCTTATAAAATTGGAGGAACACCAAATAGCCCACTCCCCATGTTCACAACAACTCATACATATATAATGAATCAACATTATAACAATAGATTGCTTTTGTGTGAGATTCAAGATATGTAACTAGGGATACAATAATAGAGCAAACCCCTCTTGATTTGCCATGTTAATTTGGTAGGTGATGGTTGGCCCCATGTGTGTCCATCACTCCGTGTTATAAACGTCTAATGAAAATTTTCAGGTATAAAAAGTGAAATAAGTCATACAGTAGCGTAATAATGATAATATTTCTTAACTGGAATCAAATTGGTAGAACATCTAATGAAAATAACCTTACATTCTCTTACAAAGAAAAGTAATATGGGAGGGGGTCTGGCCGTCTGGGATGGATTTGGGAATGAGTTCTTCGACCCTGAAATCGAGTATCTTTAAATCACTTTTATCTATAACAATTACTTCGCTTATTTGAATCTTCTGATGATTAAGTAGTTCTCTTAGACCCTTTGTATAGGCTTTTCCTCGCATCTACTTTGATACAATACATATAAAGATGTCTCAACAAATACTCAACTCGTTGGATTTTGTTCTATACCTGAAATATTAGACATTATCAATCAGGACAATGCTTGCTCTCTACCAAAAACATCTACACATTATTAGGATTTCAGTATTTGGTATAGCGATGTACCTACCTAAGCTCATTCCTATCCATCATCACTACTCAACTTATTGATCCATGAGTACTGAAAACTAAAAAAGTACACGACTTTGTCAATGATTAATACAATGATGAGTTTGGACTTCTAATATTGCACGGAAAGGACACATCAATTCTACATTGAAATTATTTTTGCTCTTATCAAGTACACGAAGTGCCAAACAAATTAGGGTAAATACAATATATTATCCATAACTATTAAGTAGCGGGGAATTATAGCCACAACTATCGAAATACAAATTATTAGGCATAACTATTGTTGTGGGTCAAGATTTGGCTAACAGCCCGTTACTGTTTTCAAATTATTAACGTAGAAGGCCATGTCAGCATCGTAAAAAATATGATATGATGACTGCCACGTGGGAGCCAGCTCACCATCGTAAAAGCTTAGTCATCATTAGTAACAGAAGTGTTAACGAAAATTTAACGATTGGCTAATAATTTGTATTTGATAGTTGTGGCTATAATTTCCCGCTGCTTAATAGTTATGGCTAATATATTGTATTTGCCCAACAAATTAATTCAAAAAA